TTTTGCTCTCTTACTAAAAAGCTAGGAAATTATACCTATAACTATAAATCCTAAAATATCCGTTTTTATATGAATTTTTAAGACTAGGTCAAAATAATAAAGAATTAGTACTATTATAAATATAATTTATAGCTCCCTAAAAGCCTTATCTACCTTATTTATCTAGCTAAACTAATATAGTAGTTTTCCGCTAGTTTTTAGTAAATTAGTTAATTCTTTTATTACCCTAGAGTATTTATAAATAAACCTCTAGTAAAAATTAGTAAAACTCAGGAATACTTGAACTTCTCAGATATTATTCTTTGAGGCCGGCCATTCCCTAATAGCTATAACCCGGCTAGCCTCTATTTCTATATTATCTGGGCTAATTATAAATCTCAGGAACTCTATTCTCTCTATATTAAACTCGTATTTTACCAAGTTTATAAAGAGCTAGTATTACTATAATTACTCAAATATATATTAGACCGCTATTATATACTATTCTAGGTCTTTTAAATAAATTAAAATATTATCTAGATAAACTATATAAATAATATCTATAAGGCTTACTAGTATATAATTAATATATACCTGGAATATTACCGGAGTATTAGATAGTCTAAAGGGCATAATATAGTACTTAAAATATCTATAGTATATTCGGAATACTATTTTCTATTTATTACTCTCCCGTATTTATAACTAATAATAAGTATCCTTTAAGTCTAGCTTTATATATATTTTCGCTCCGTAAAGCCTGTTTATTATCTTACTAATAAGTAGTAATAGTATTCGGTTCTTAATAATAATTCTATTTAGACTCCGGTAATTAATATATAAATATAGGCCGCCTTTTTTCTTTGAAATAAATATAATTAGGGTACTAGCTAGGCTAGTAAAATAACGGATTTATTTCTTTTTTAAGCTAGTATTAAGATATTTCCAAAGAATTTCAAGCTCTCTTTTTAATAAAGTATATATAGGACTATATAATAATTAAGATCCTGGTTTCAGATCTATATAATACTTTATTATATAATAGTCGGGTAATATACTTATAGCCTTTATAGAGAATACTCGGAAAAAGTTCTAATACTTCCTGAGAAATATAGCTATCTTATTTATAGTAATAGTAGTAATTCTTTAGCCGTCTATTATAAAGTAAGTAGTTAATAGAAAAATATATATCTTATATTTTATTACTTTAGTAAACTTTCTAGTATTTAGAACTTTAATTTTCTATAATTAAATCTAGTATCTCTATATTACTTCCCTAAAGGAAATTAGGGAATTAATCTAGTAGAGCTATAGGAATCCAAGTATTATATTAATATAGTTCAGATTAAAATCATATAATATAAAGTATATATTAGCCTCTTTTTGGTTCCCTAGTATATTCTTAATAGTAATCCCAAGAATATAATCTCTATATAAATAAATCCTTCTTTTCTTTAGTAAGGACAAGAGAGTTACTTTTAATATTAATAGAATACCTATATTTAAGGCTAATTTTCTTTTTATATAATTAGCCTCTATATCCGAGTTAACTAATACTCTAATCCTTTGCCTATTTTTTCTCGTCTTAATAATAACCTTAATTATTATTCTTGTTTTAGGGGCCTTGCCTTCTATAGTATAAACGAGTATAACTACTATAGGGTATACTTGTTTCCCGGCTTCTTTAATTCTAGATACTTATATATCTTATAGCCAGACTTATTATAGTTATAGCAAGTCAGTTTTCCCTAATTTAGGCAGGTAGTAATATAGTAACTCTTTTTCTAGTAAGTAAAGCAAGTTATACCCGGTTTTATAAATCCCAATACGGGTACTATATTAGACCCCGTTACTATGCTTTTGCTATCCCGGTTATATAAACCTTATAATAGGGATATACTTCTCTTCCGTTTCTCTTTATTATTTCCTTTCTTCTTTCTTTAATTTCCTTTCTTTTATTAACCTATTAGCTTATTATTATATTCCCGTTAAGTAAACTAGTTTAAGTTATTCTCGACTCTTATAGCTATAGAAATAAGCTTCTCTCTTTCTCGTAAAGTATTCCCTTAGTAATTAATCTTATCCCGAATCTCCTGCCTTAAGCTACTAAATAAGTCATTCCGCTTTTGCGGCGAACCCGTATATCCCAAGTTATCTAATAGGCTATCTAAGTAGGATATAAAGCTTTGAATACTCTGACCTGGCTACTATTTTATATCCTTGAACTTGGCAAGGGTATTATTATTATAATTTTCCGGATCCAAGATAGAATTCTTTATAAACTTAATAAAGGTCTTCTAATCTATAGTATTAATGCCTACTAATTACTCCCTATACTTCCAGATATTCCTGGCTATATTCTTAAAGCAGGAAGCATAATATGTAACCTTTACTATATTTGTGGCCCAGGTAATCCCGCCGTCTTTATACTATTTTAGCTCTGCCTGGTAGAAGAAGTCCTGGGCTTCCTTAATACTCTTCCCCTTATAGGTTAGTAATTCTCGGGTTTTTGGAGCCCTGCAAACCAAATATACCGCCGGTGGTATAATAGGTTCTATAATAGGTACCCGAATATTCTCAAGATAGTGAATCTGAGCTTCCAAATCCTCCAGATTCTCCCTCTATTATATCTCTGCTTCTAACTCAGCGATACGACGACGAGCCGCCGCCAGCTTCTCCGTTATTATTATCCTGCTAGCTGGTTCTAGGGATGTCTGAGTTCCACTCCCTTCTCCTGATTAGGCGGCAGCTAGAGTGGCTAACTGGGCGCTCCCCTGGGTGCCCGACTGGGTCGCCCCAGTAATAGCAGAGGCGCTTCTTCTGGTTAATGCTCCAGCCATTAGTGGTTTTGTCTGTCGACGGCTTGACTACCTCGCAACGAACTGCTTCCCGAAGGTTGGATCGATTAGAATGTAAGGCACGTAATAGCAGGGTAATATACAAGTAGTCAAGGTAAGTAAGCTGCGGAGTGACGCTTGCAAGTATAACTGATTCCAAGAATTAATTCCAACAAGAGACTAATCAATGCCCCTTCCAAAGCTAGGAGCGTCTCCCTATATATTCCCTAGTACTTAGCCAGGCATGCGAAGCCCTTTACTTAATTAGGAAATCCCATGCGATCCATATGATTCCGATCGCAAGCTATACCCAAAATAGGAAACTAGATCCACGACATCTGACACCTGTCCATGCGCCATCACGTGTGCCTATCACACTAATATAATAAATAATATTAGTCTAGAACCCATATTTTATATATATATAATATTGGTCTTCCTAAAACCATACTTATGCCATCCCTACTTCCCTTTAGTCGGGGAAAGCGAGTTGGCCCGCAAAAGCGAGATGGCCCGCACTAAATAAAATCCTTAATAACTTGAAACATTAACCTTTTTAAATAATTCTAAGTAGTAGAATTAAAAATATAAGCCTTATAAACTAGATACGATTCTCTAAATCTTAAAAAAAGATGTGGGTAGAGAGTTATTAAGGTTTTAATAATAAAATTGCGAGAAATATAAAAATTGTAAGAATTATTTATTCGTAACCATTTCGCAAGTATTAGACCTATAACTTTTGCTTAATTATAAATTTTTATTCTTTTACTTAAAACTTTAGCCCTTAAGTATGCGATAGGTAACTATGAGATTGCGAATAAAATGTATTAATTAGATTTTCTATAGCCAGTTTCTAATATTGTTTTTTAGAAGGCAAAAAAGGCCGAAACAGGCCATCTCGCTTTCGCGGGCCAACTCGCTTTCCCCGACTAAAGGGAAGGGCCCCTTTAGCGCGACGTTAAGTCCGACTATTATATGGAGGAGCTTTATGATTGTTTCACCACCATCTCTACCACCACCGCCGCCGCCGCCATCAACCCCAACTCGAGCAATCGCTATATTTGGCCTCCTTACAGAAGTTGGCGATGGAGAGGGGACCACGGCGAATGAATGGGCAGAATTGGACCTGGTCGTTAGTAGCGGAGGGCATAGTAGTTCGAGTTCCATCGGAATCTGTGATGCAATCGAAGGGCAGGAGCTTGCACAGCCAGATACTGCTCACTGGGATGATTTCCCAAGGGAATGGCATTTTATACGTGCTATTCACGGGATGACCTCCTGCACCTATACAAATAATGCTGCACCAGCTAGGGGAACTGGGACTCTCTCTTGTCCTGGTCTATCTGTTAGTTGTCCTCCTGTATCTGGAGCGTCAATTGGTGTTTGTACAAGTGGATCAATATTTCTCCCTTCTTTCTTTCCATTTCTGCCAGGCATTGAAATTGGGGGTGGTGTGAGCACATTTGAGTTGTTGACTATTTGTCGGTGGTAGTTGTTAAGAGTAGTTAGTTTCAGTCTTGGTACTGATTATATCCTGCTAAGAAGCATTCTCAACTTGCATGATATGCAAAAGGAATGTAGATACGAACTTGAGCCAGTTGTGCCTCGGCAAGTCCTCCGATGAATTATGTGACTATGACTCGCTCAAAGAATTGGATTTGATTGCAGACCTTGGAGCCGTGAGACTCACAACCTCAATTGGGTACTGGAATACCGAAGAGGTTCTGGTCGGCTGCTCTTCATTGGGGGGAATCCATGACATGTATAATTTTTGATGACACGACAATATGCAAGACGACTCAGGGTGTAGAAAACAAGTATTAGGTGTCACAAGATAGCGGGCACGCTAAGAGCAGTTGCACACATTGGTATTAAGATATAAAGAGTGCGCGGGGCTTGGTTCTATATAAATTAGTCTTTATTTCACATAGCAATATTACTGCAGAAGATTTCAGGATGAAGTTTGGGAGCACTCAGTCTGCAAAAGTTTCAATATGAGACGTTCTTGTAAGTCTTGGTTCAATTTTTCTACCAAGGCTAGTTCGTTACGCCAAAAATGTCGAATGTGTCAGCGGCGTGAGGAAGATTTGCCAACTTCTTCTCTCCTTCCCTCATGGGTTTAGTGATTCATCAATATTTCTTCGCGCCACAAAGGAGCTTCCGATGATTCTGCCATGTGGAGCATCAATGCTCGTCTTTCATCCACATCACTTTACCCTGCTTTCCAGAATCGACATTCAGCACCTGGCCTGTAATGCTTCCGCTCCAGTTCTCGCTCGCCAGGAAGAGGATGCTCTTTGCAACAGCCTCCAGCGGGACCGGCTTCTTAAGTCCTGTCGTAGCCTGAGAATCGACCCAGAACTGATGTGGGTTCTCTGCACACTCTTTCCTAAATTGCAAGGTGTCGACCGGACCAGGAGCCACGGCGTTGACTCTTCTTGGATTAGCGATTCGTTCCCAGGTCCCTATAAGACCAACCAAGTCCACCAGACGGAGAAGTCACACTGTCTGTCTGACCCACACTCACCTCGCCCCTTCCCACACTCTGCTCACGTCTCCCATCAAGCTCTTCACGAGCCCGAATTGGACTGCACTCTTCCCACTCGCATAGTCCGCATTGCACCTCTCCCCAAAATGACCACTCTCACTCCCCACAATTATCAACCCCACGTTGGTCAAGTGTTCTTTCGGTCCGGTCTGCGCGAAGTCTCTCAGCTGTCTCAGCCACGTACGGGCTGTCAAGAATGTTCCTTCGACATTGACCCGATGGGTCTGGCGCCATTGCTCTACGTCCATGTCTGCAAGACTCTCATGATGCGGAAGGACAGAGAGGTCAAGAGAAGCAAGTGCAATACAGCATGCAACCGGGCCAAAAGTGGTAGAGGCAGCTGAGAAGGCGTCAATCAGGGCTGACTCGGACGCTATATCGCAGGCAAAGTATTGGTAATTCGGACCCGAGGGATTGGGATTGGGAGCTTGTAGGTCGATATTGGTAACGCGGGCTCCGGCAAGGAGAAAGGCGGTGACTGTGGACTAGGGAAGTCAGTATCAGCAGCGTTGAAGAGAGGCTTTTGATTCTTGGCTGACTGAACCAATAAAGCCAGAGCCGCCCGTAATCAGAACATGCGTGCCGTCGAGCTCGAGGGAGAGATCCATGACGCGTTCAAGGGGCTGAGGAGCAAATCACGGCTCTGCCAGGTACGTCTGTGAGACTTGTCCTGTCGGAAGAAAAGCAAACGCCGACTGCCCACGGGGTGAAGCTCCACGGGATCGCGGGGTGAGGAGCATTTAGGGTTTGGAGCCGTCGTCTTGGCTGGTTTTGGTCGGCGAGGGCTTCGCCGCCAGCACAGCCACTCCGTCAGCCACAAATGTCCGTGGCCCAAGCAGATCTCTCCCCTGGCGCCTGCAGGCGTCCGCGTGCTGCCACGGTGCTGGTCACACAACAGAGATCCGTGACTCCTCTCATGTCCAAACACGTCCAAACCAGACATCTCAAGCAGAGCCTTCACGTCGCCATCGTTGACGCCCCGATGTATTTGATTGATCGGCTTCCATACATACTCTTCCTCCAAAGGTTAAAGGTACTGTCCGAATCAAGCATCCTTCCCTTCGGCGACCTCGCTTAGCGTCATCATGCGGGAAGCTGAAGTGGCTGGCCTTTGCTTCCCCGAGCTCCTTTGCATAGGCCCGCACGACACGGGCTGAATTCTTTAAACCTCAATCTCAGTGGAGACACCTGGCGACTAGGGGACCAGGTTTGTGGCTTCAGCATAAGCGGCATTTTGATCGATGCATGGTAGGCTCAATGGGCGTCGGGGACCAGACAAGTGTTTTAAGACTTCCTCCACTTCGACATCCCGGGCCCTCGGGCTCTCAGCCTCAGTCCCCGAAAACGCTTTCTTCACTTCACTTCACTTCAATCTTTCGTCGGAGTTCACAGCCTCGATGCGTGGGGCTAGCTGAACATCCATTCTTTCTTTAAAGCCCTTTTCTGCGAACTTGTATTATAAGTTGTACCTCTTCTGCTTTCCAGCTTTACACTCACATCTCCACATTGCCTCAAGGTGTCTTTGGTTATCCAATATTCTTGAGTGCTCTTAGCCCACAGCTTCTTCAAGCTCCTTCACATGATCCGGTGAAACAAGCGTTCTAAATAGTCACAGTACCCACGATAAGATGAGCAACGACTCGGTATCCCAATCCGGCACTGCCGAGGATGCCATCTACCACAGCGTCAAACAGGATCCATTTATTGTCGACATCGAGCAGAAAGCTCTCGATAATGCCCATTTGATGAACGATACCGTTCGGAACTTCGTCTGGCAAGGGATCACTGTCGTTGTCAAAGACCATAAAACCAAGGAACCCAAGACCATTCTCGAGAATGTCGAGGGATCCATTGAAGCTGGTATGTTTGAAGTCTTGATCCGTAGAACTTTCTTTTATATTGGACCGGCTGACGCACAGACAAGGTGAGATCTGCGCCTTGATGGGACCCAGCGGCTGCGGAAAGACAACTCTTCTCAATGTACTTGCTCGTAGAGATGTGTCCTCAGGAGCAAAGATCGATGGATCCGCCGTAGTGAACGGAAACAACCCCTCACTTGGCGCTTTTCGGCGCTTGACCTCCTATGTTGAGCAAGATGATGCACTCATTGGGTCTCTCACAGTTCGTGAGACAATGCACTTTGCTGCAAGACTCGCCCATAAGAAGTAAGATGCTCTAAACACACTCCTCGAACCATCTAACGTCTCTACAGCACATTGGCGAAGACGGAACGAATGCGTAGAATCGATGGACTTATTGAGTCCTTTGGTCTGAGACAGCAAGCAAACAGTATCATTGGTACTCCAATCCGAAAAGGCATTAGTGGTGGACAAAAACGCCGTGTTAGTGTCGCGAGTCAGCTCATCACTGCCCCAAAGATCCTCTTCTTGGATGAACCTACTAGCGGTCTCGACTCTGCGGCTAGTTTCGAGGTTATTTCCTTTGTGAAGGAAGTAGCGAAGCGAAATAATGTCAGTATTATGCCAAGTTCGCATCAATAATGGACATGCTGACCATATTGTCTAGCTGATTGTCATCGCAAGTATCCACCAACCTTCCACGTCAACATTCCAGCTGTTTGATAAACTGCTGCTCCTCTCCGGCGGAAAATCGCACTATTTCGGATCAGTCCATGGCGTTGAGTCACAATTTGAGTCCATGGGCTACCCCATTCCTCTGCACACCAATCCAGCTGAGTTCCTCCTCGAATTGATGAATATCGACTTTGCTAGTCATCAGGAAGCGGCAAGTGGCCGACTTCAAGAGATACAACAATCTTGGGTCAAATCACCGAAAGCTATCGAGCTTTCCGCCCATGTTGATGCTGCTATGACCCGAGAGGAGCCACTTCCTGATACCAAGCCGTCGAAGAGAAATTTCCCAATTATTTTGATGACGCTGGTCCACCGATCATTCATCAAGAGCTACCGAGATGTCGTCGCCTATGGCATCCGTGTGGCAATGTACACTGGCCTCGCAATCATGATGGGAACTGTTTGGCTCCGATTAAAGCAAGACCAATCCGCCATACAGTCCTTCACCAATGCCATTGTATGTAATCTACCAAGTATAATTATTCATATCGCTTACCCAGACAGTTCTTTGGCGGAGCTTTCATGTCTTTCATGGCTGTGGCATATATCCCAAGTTATCTCGAAGATCATGCTACCTACGTCAAAGACCGTGCAAATGGTCTCTACGGCCCAGCCGTTTTCATGCTCGCAAACTTCATCATCGGTCTCCCATACCTCTGTAAGCCTCCTCTTCAGAACCCCTCAACACCCTCTCTAACAATCTCGTCAGTCCTAATTGATGTCATCTTCTCCGTCATCGCCTACTGGCTCGGAAACTTCCAACCAACAGCCCAAGCATTCTTCATGTGGATCATGTGGCTCTTCCTCGATCTCGTCGCCGCCGAGTCCCTCGTCGTCCTCGTATCCTCCATCTTCCCCAACTTCGTCATTTCTCTGGCCCTCACTGCCTTCGCCAACGGATTGTGGATGTCGGTCAACGGATTCATGGTCAGCCCGAAGTTGCTAAACGTCTTCTGGAGATATGTCTTCCATTATATTGACTATCAAGCATACGGTAAGCTTTAATTTCATAATGAATTATTCTTCTTTTGTTCCGAAGCATCCTAATTCGACGATAGTGTTCCAAGGTATGATGGTCAATGAATTCGCCGCCCGAGTGTATAGCTGTGGCTCTTCATGCCAATGTATGTTCCAAACCCACATGGTTGACCAGTGCAGCTTCTCTGGACTAGCTGTCTTGGAACAATATGGATACAAGGTTGGAAGGACTGGCGAGTGGGCGGGTATTCTGCTGGCCATTGTTCTTGGTCTTCGCCTTTTGGGTTGGTCGGCCTTGTGGGTTAGGAAGTGATGAGTTCTTTTGTGACCAAATTTGCTCTTATTTCCTGCGTGTCGGTGCGTTTTAATATCCCCAGAGTGGTGTTTGAGTTATCTTGATGGGTTCTGGAAATCGCAAGTAGAATGTTTAATCTTGGTGAGAAATCAGTCAGTAGATATTTTGGGTACATGGATCTACAGTCAGATTATATTAAATTATTTTCCCACATCGTCCTTTTCCATGACTCGCGAAAAGCAATAAAAGTTGTGAAAAAGCAACAGGCTCGCGGTGGGCAAGAAAAGCGGCACTAATTTTCAATGTCACATTCAAGTTGGACAAGTCCTCTCCAAATGTTCCCTCGTATCCCTTGTACATTCCAAATCTAATCCATTCCCCTTCCAAGTTCAGATGAATGTCCAACTTTGACCGACGACACTTGACAATTAGTGCCGCCTTTTGTCCACCGCGAGACAGGGAGCACTAACTCTGCCCATGGATATGAAAGGTCCTTCATATCCAACTACGATTCCCATCAAATTTCCTCAAGGGTACCGTCCGCCCATTTCCCTAAGATCTCATGGCTTGAACTCCCCAGTCCCCCAGTTCTCTTGATCAGCTCCGTGGCATCCTTCTGGACCTCCGCACGGAGATTCCAAAGCCTCGCCCTCTCATCATCGGCCACTCCCTCTGCTATCGCCGTTCGCTGCTTCAAGTTCGCTTCCTTCTGGGCAAAAACCCGATGGTGCCATCGAGTGAGCTGGCCAAGAGCCATATCATCCTTATACAACCCTCCCAGCGCCACCTTGAGCTCCTTCTTGTAATCAGCGATCTCCTTAGCAAGACTTTCGGCTCCTGATTGAGAGGCACTCAGCCTTGATTTCGTGCCACCAAGCTCAAGTTGAGCGACGTGAAGCTTTCTCTCGAGTTCAGCGTTGACCTTGATGGCATTTTTGATGATGTTCTCGGTATGTAATCGCGCCCGGCTGGCGTCCTTCTCAAAATGAGTCATATTCAAATTTACTTGCTTCAATTCCTTCTGGGCATTCTCTTTTTCTGCGAGAGCTTTGAGGTGCGCTTTCTTGAGCTCCTCTTTCTCGTTTTGGTAAATGGACATGTGGTTTCGGACGGTCGAAAGCTCGAGTTTCGCGGTGAGACACTCCCCGCAAGTGCGAAGAGCCTCTTCTTCGGAGTAGACCTGACTCCCTTGCTGTGCTGGGGTTTCTGAGGGAATTGCGAGAACAGACGATTGAGATTGCGTCTTCAACCGCTTGCCCAACGTCTCAACCTTTGTCAATGCTGTGACAAGCGCATCGCGCAAGACCCAATTATCCTTCTCATTGGCCACATTCAATACCTCTAGCTCTTGATTTCGTTCGGCCAAAGCATCGCGGGTACACTTAGCACCAATGCGTGCGTGCTGCAGTTGGGCCGATACTTGGGACACTGTGTCCTTGAGGATTGCATTTTCCCTTTCTAGGGCTGTGCAGGTGGACGTAGTCTCGAGAGTGTTCTTCTCAAAAGACCACTTTGCGTTACTCTCTGCTATTGCTCTCTCTCGCCGCTGAGCGGTGGGGGATTCAGGGTTGTCTTTCTGATTTTGCACCCCCGATGAGCCCTTTTGTCCACTGGCTGGAAGTTTGTTTTCGGCAACGTCGGCAGAGGTTTTGTACGGCCTGAGGGTGCTGTGCGTGTATATGGGTGTAGCGGTTTCATGCCCTGTGGATTGTTCTCGCAGACTCGCTCTGTCTTTTCGCATTTGGTCAAGAGCAGCTTCGAACTTCTCCCTGATGTTTGCAAGCTTCGTGGCTTCAACCGCTCGCCTGTCCTGGAAAGCCTGGATTTGTTGCTTGAGTATCGTATTTTCATGCTCCAGCCGTCCATTTTGTTGAGAAAGTGTGTGCCCTGTCAGCTTCACAGCCTGATTTTTTTTAAGCAGCACGTCATTGCCGCGGCGGAGACGCTCTATCTCGGACCGTTGAACTCCTGCGAGCTGAGCGAACTTGTGTTTTGACTTCTCCTCGTGCTCAAGTGCTCGAGAGATCTCATCATCTCGTCTCTTGGCGTCCTCAATTTCCTTCTTGCGGTTACCCACAACAGTCCGGAGTTCCGAAATTTCGAATAGGGCGGCATCTCTTTCTTCCTCATAATCTCGAGCCTCCTGAACACAGTCCACCGGTTTTGCATCTTTAACGGCCTTCTCGTTGCGCAATTCTGAGATGTAGTTGATTGCATATGCCTGTTCATCCTCAGTCCGGGCTTGGGAGTCCTGGCACTGCTGTACCTTACCCTCCAGAACCGAGATTTGAGCTTTAGCTGCTGCGAGCTGCCTCTTCAGTTTCTCATGTTCTTCTGCGAGCGCCTTGTACGACGGGGAATCAATTCCTAAGAGCCCGGCCTTCTGCTCGAGCAAGACAATCTGCTCTTTGTGCCGTTTTTTGCTGTTTTCATATTGGTTGTACAATTTCTGGACTTCTGAGTTGTGGCGCCGCTTGAGTATTTTGATTTCCTCGGTTTTCTCTTGCTGAACCTTGAAGATTGTCTCGTTGGTCGCGGTGTTAGTACGAGCACATTCGGTAGCATGCATGCGAGTGAGTTTCCCCAGCTCCTCATCTTGATCTTTGATTATTCTTTTCAAAATTATGACATCATCCCCAAATATATACGCAATTGCTCGTGAATGCTTTCGAAGCTGGACACTGGTTTCTCGGGATACTGCCGTCTCATCGTTGAGACTAATATCATCCAGAGTCCGCAGAAGTGCTTCTGCTTCAGTCTGGATGTCGGTGCGAACTGACTGCAAATCCGCATCCAATTTCAAATCTGTGAACTGTTCGTCGGACTGTGTTTCGGGGTTGCCAAGACCGGAATCGTTACTAATTACAGATTCGACATCACTGTCACCGGTCGTTTGCTGTGCACTCTGTAACCACAATTCCTCCATCAAGGCTCGTTTTTGTGCAACATTCGAAGTAAGGCTTTGTTGCATCCTTGGGATCTTCGGGATCCATGATGGTAAGGTCGAATTTTTTTGGTCGTGGTTGTTGGGCATCTCTCCGGCAAGACCAGTGACAGCATTTTCAACACACAGGTTCTCGACCTTCTCGGATTGCAATGCCTTGGCCTTGCTGTTGGTATTGCTGGCTGAGGCAAGAGATGCCGTACCTTCAGGCATATCATAGGATGCGTCTGAATCATTGCCGCGAGCTGAAGAAATTTCGTTAGGAAGTTCCTTAGTTGTGGGAGCCATCGAGATGGTAAAGCTGCAGTTGTCGAGATGTGTGAAGCCTCCGTAGTGAACGAAAATAATTTAATTTGGTCTGGGTCTTGAGATGAATCCTGACGTGAGGCGTAAGGGCTGGGTTGAAATAGAGCAGGGACTGCGCGGAGGTGACTCGACTGAGGGCTAGGGACCTGACCATAATGATTTCATCATTCCCGTTGTTAGGTCCCACTGTGGGCGAAACAGGACACGTTGATATACTCGAGCAACAGGACCACGGAAGCTAAAATAAATTGCGTACGGCTCTTTAGGAATACGTTAATGACGAAGAGGGGCCCAAGCCATTGTAAAACACGGTATGGTCCGTTGACGGAGCAAGAAAACCAACAATCGCCTTATCTACAATAGTGCATTTCAGTCTCACAGCGAGCACAATACAGGCTAGAGACTGAATTTGATTGACCGAGAGCATGCTGGGCAATCAAAGGCATGCTTTCTAAGGGAGTCCTCCTGGGTCTTCCCTTCCACCCTTCCTCCCGGAAGGTGCGCAGTGTACAGCGAAAAGCACTTGCAAATAAGACGATTGACATCCCGAAAACAGGCCTTCTGAACTCGATCAGGATAGCATAATGCGCAATGACACTTGCCATTGGACTTATCGCCACCGCTCAACGACGTTGATAACCGCAGTGTTGGAGATAGTTGTGCGCGGAGATTGCAAAGGAAGGTTGAGATGACGAGAAAGGGAAGCATGCATTGAATGCTGACGTAACAAGTTAGACCCAGCAATTATGGGTCCGACACAGCCTGATTGGTCCACAACGAGGACGCCTAGAACTCCACCCCCCTCGCGACTAACACAAAGACCAGAGATCTCTTTCTTCAGACATCTCATTGGCTCTTTCGGGTGCTGCTTTGCATTCGGTGTTCCTGGAACAAGTGCTTTTCTGCGCATTTACCTCACGTGGACCTTCCTAACTAAAAATGTTATAGAGTCACGTGTGGGAAGCCCACCCCCATTGCTATACAGATGGAGACGTGACTCACGATAGTGTTGACATCTTCATAAACAAGAAACTTTCACTTCTAGCAAGTCTCGGTATCCAAGACTGCCATTGAACCCAAACCGAGCCACAATTGCAAACTCTCGATCATCATGGCCCACTCTGAATCTCCCAGCTACCCCAAGCTCCCTCGCAATACCATCAACCGCTATGGCAAACCTCGCGGTGAGAACCGAATTCCTATCCGAAAATTCATAACCAGCCAACACATTTTCAAGGCAAATATGACTTCGAGACGATTCACAGCATCGTGAACACCTGTCCAGTCCTGCATGTGTCATTCCCAACACCAGATCCCTCCGATCCCTTTCCAGCAATGATCTCCATGCTCGGTTTCATAGCCTGTAGGTGTATTGGGACTATTTCATGATTTCCCCCTAAGGCAATGTCCTTTCCCGAAACAATCTTAAGCTAGCAATGCTAACTCCGCCGTTACCTAGGCTTTTCCAACTCCCAAGCATCACTTACCGAGCCATTGGAACTCTACCTCCACGGCTACATCTCCTCTCGTTTAATGCGTCTCTCTGGAGCCTCCCCAGTAGATGAAGAAGACGGCCTCCCCCTCATCATTGCAGCAACGCACCTGGACGGCCTAGTCCTCGCTCTCACACCAAACCATCACAGTGACAGATGCTGATGAGAAGCTCTGGGCCATGGAGAAGATCACCAATAATGTTGTGGATGATCGTTGGGCAAACACTCGTATCCCGCCTACGAAGATGGAGATGACTAGTACTCAAATTATTAAAGTGAGGGTTGTGGATGCGTCGGCGAAGGTGAGGGCTGGATGGCCTAGTGATGATAGAGCAGATGTGAAGAATGATGAGTTGAGAGCGAAGACTCGGGTTGGTGTTGTGCCTACTTGGGTCACTTATGGAGCACCAGTCCCGAGCCCAGATAATAAGCTGTCCAAGGCAAGCAAAACGATCTTGGCGGTATCTGAGTGGCACTGATGAATTAATAGGTCCCTGGATACCTAGTGGATTTTGTGAAGCGTGAGAATACGGTTGGGGAGCAAAACGCTCATATTGCCATCACGGGTTCCAAGTGAGGCCGGTCCTGAGACATCAGATATTCTGTTTGGAGATGACAATACCATGAAGATCAAAGAAAGAAAGCAACAGATGAAAAGATTTGATTTTAGTGCCAGTTGGCATAACTTACTTTCCAACAACCATAATCCATTGCAGAGGTTTACCTCATCTTCCATGATTGTGACACCTCCTGATTCCCATCAAATTGCCACTTCATCCCCACGGTCAGAGCCCGAGAATTGTCCTCTGGTACAGCATACTCAAGCTCACCGGCTAGGTGCTCCCCCTCTTTCCTATTAACAGGTGACACTTTCGTGTTGTCAATGAGCATAACTCCCTGCTTCCAATGGGTTTCTCTTCCACCTGGTCCCGTTGTGAATGCAATTCCTATTTTGCCTGCCTTCGCCCACTCCTCGGCTTTTGCATTCTGTGGGACCAGATCATCTCGGGAAGGCATGAAGAATGAGTCAAACCAGATGATGAAGCCATCCAATGCATCAATGTCCGACTTTAGCTTTCCTTCCCATTTTTGTTTGAACGAGAGATCCTTCACCGTCGTTGTGTGCAAACTCAATTGGAGGAATGGAAAGGGGTCAGCACAAACAGTGGCAGCTGGCATGTTCAGGACTTGGGCATCTTCATGGATACCAGCTTGCATGGCTTTCATGTCAAATCCATACACGTCCCTCCAGAATGCGATGTGGTCTGAGATATAATCCGGGTCTGCAACTGGCGCAACCCACATATTCATGTGACTTGGGACCATTAATCCATCCGGCTTGAGATATTTATCTCTTGCCCAAATGACACTATCAAGCATCGCTTCATAGAGTAAACAATAACCCATCCATTCGCTGACGATGATGTCAACTTTATCGACAGGGAGAATTACTTCTTCAATTTTGCCCCTGAGACATGTGATTTTGTCCGCGAAGCCATTGTTGAATATGTTCTCCCGTGCTTTGTCGATGATCGCTGAATTGTCGACTGCAATGACACGAGCTGCACCAGCCTTAGCACAGAACATGCTCAGAATACCAGTACCACAGCCGACATCTAGGATGGTCTTGCCGGCGAACAGCAGCTTGTGATTGTAGATAAAATCTCGGTATGCATCAGTTCGGACACTGTCCTTCAGCATGGTTTCATGAATGTCTATGCAAATTAGTGAAGAAGTGGCCACTGGGGAGGGAACGAACCGTTGTAGGAATAGGAGCTGAAATAGTGCGAATCGTCGTCTCTCTCCTCCTCCTTTTCTGTGCCTGCTGCTCCTGGCGACCCAGTCGTGCGTTTCTCATTCCACCTGTCATCCAGGGTTTCGGACACCGAGGCCCTGTAATTGTCAAATTGCAGCTGGATTCGACGCAACTCTCCTTCCAATTCTGAAACCCGACTGACCAGCTCTCCAGAGTCATTTGACGCTTCTTTGCCGTTGGGTCTTTGCACGCGTTCCATAACATCAGGAAGATCGTCGAGACTAAACAGCAAAGCATCGTCTTCCAGAACGGGCTTGAGGTATTTCTCGTCATCGAGATCTTGCTGAGAGATATCCTGGGAGACCTTGTTCCCGCTGTGAACCTGAGAACGAATGAAGTTGACAAGTTTGACACTGCCATAAAAATCAAGAGCCAGCCGCTGTCTGATCTCGAGAAAATCAAAGTTGTACTTTTGCTTGCAGTGGTTGAGCATTGCATGGATATCCATGAAAACCTCATCGTCCAATAATGAGATGAACTGTGTTTCTTCCTCATCTGGCTCAGCATCTTCCCAGCCTTCCTCGTCTTTCATGTCCAGGATATCTGAATTTTCAGAACTTCCAGATGATGGTGCGGATCTCGCGGTTTCTGGACCTGGACCCGGCATGATGGCGGCTGTAGACCTTTAGCAGTCTGAAACTCTTGTAAGTGCTTTGTTTACTTTCGAAAATATGAGTTGTGTGAATTGACAGAAGCCAAGGAGGACCCTTGCAAATCTCTTCTCCTTGCCAACGAGACGTCACGTGCTGATTGCTGCGGAGGGTCATCGATAAAGCTTTATTCTGACTGCAATCCGGCCAGAACGAGAAACTACTGTGACGGTTCTGGTCTTGCAAGTAGATATAGGAACCACTGTCTGTTCAATTCTTTCCCAGTTTCGTGGAGTTTTGACACGCCCGGAGAAACCCTGTGCTTGGTTGCTTGTAAACATTGGGTTTGACAACGGGCCAAAGCGCCCCCTCGGGCAAACACTTGGAAGGAGCCACAGACAGTTCGCATCAATTCTGCAACCCACCCCCAGGACCCTCTCGAACGTGCCATGATATTCGCACAAGCTTTGCTCTTCCGGATGTCCGAGTTAATTGCCAACTTACAGAGCCCTTCCGAATGCCAGTCCTCCAACTTCGAACCGCGACCGTAAACATCTGAGCTGGGAGTTGGAGCGATCGTAACTACCGCGAATATGTCGTTTCTATTCGGACGTCGTCCTCGCACGAACACCGTGGATCTGCCCAAACAGGCGAGAGAGCAGATATCGAAGCTGGATGGGCCTACAGGGCCTGCAAAGGTATACAGCATTCACAGATAAGGGATGGGATGGGAGCTGACCTTCAATCAGGCCGAGGAGCTCGCAAAAACATTAGGTCAAATGAAGTTTGTTCTACAAGGCACTCAGGGTAGGTTTCTTGATCAATTGAACTGTATCCAGCCCTTCTAACTATATTCACCAGAAACGGAGAGCAGTCCTGAGCAGGTTTATGCTCTTGTTACCGGCATGATTCAGGAGGACCTCCTCTACAGCCTCGCCGTGAACCTGCATCGACTACCCTTCGAATCAAGAAAGGACGCCCAGGTTGTATTTTCATACGTTCTACGATTTCGACCAGCGACTGCGTCCCCAAAGAGTGACCCTCTCGCACTGAGCTATGTTGTCAATAATCGACCCGAAGTCTTGGTGGAATTGTGTAATGGATACGACCACAAGGAGAGTGCCACACCTGCGGGAACTGTGCTCAGAGAAGTTTTGAAGAGTGACTCGGCTGCGGCCATAATCTTATATGATGACCCTGAAGGAAACCCAACATCGAAAGGGTTGACTGGTGTACAACCAGAAGCTAAGCAAAGTGGGAAAGGTGTGTTCTGGAAGTTCTTCAATTGGATTGACCAAGGTTCTTTCGAAGTGGGCGCAGATGCGTTCACGACTTTCAGAGTAAGTCGGGGAAAACCACAACTCACTTCTTGTCTAACATTTCGCAGGAATTATTGACGAAACATAAACAACTTGTCGCCCAGTACCTTTCCACGAACTTTGATCTTTTCTTCGAGAAATACAACAACATCCTCGTCAAGTCAGAGAGCTACGTGACGAAGCGTCAGTCTATAAAACTGCTCGGGGAGATTCTTCTGGACCGAGCAAATTATGCAGTAATGACGGCGTACGTTGATAGAGGGGAGCATTTGAAGATTTGCATGAATCTTCTGCGGGACGAGAGGAAGATGGTCCAGTACGAAGGATTCCACGTGTTCAAAGTATTTGTGGCGAACCCCCACAAGTCTATTGCAGTGCAGAAGATACTCCTTAATAATCGGGAGAAACTGTTGACATTCCTGAAGCATTTCTTGGAGGATCGCACGGAAGATGAGCAATTCATTGATGAGAGGGAATTTCTGATCAAACAGATCAAGAACATGCCCCCCACCCCAGTTGAGCCGACGCAGAAGCCAGCGCTATTAGGATCGCAGGTGCGTTAGGTGGAAGCACGGGAAAGGGGCGCGCGGGATGATAGAGGAAGAAAGGAGGGCATTGCTGGATATGAGCACCGGAGTCCAGGGCATTGGGTTTGACAATTGATAGTGGTCATTGTAATTAAACACGGCGTTGTTGCATATCATCAATGAACTGTCCATGACTATCACAGTGTCCTGCACAAGGCCAGTGTATCACAATTTACTCTGGTACCAATCAAGTGCGCAAGGCTGAAAAGGAGGCAGGTCCACGCTAGCCACAATAGGGATAGCGGCTGCGAAGCAAACATATCCACAGATAGATTCGCGTAAGGAGTTCAACGCGACGGGCTCTCTAGCAGCGCATTAATCGGTCCGCCCTTGACTGTCGCACAGCCAGAGTCAAATCACTTGGAGATACTTAACGTGGTCCTGCTGCCGTCGTCAACATGCAGCCATCGTACCGCCCCTTTCCTCAGCAGGCGCCCCAGCGGTCCCCCCATGCGCAGGCTACAAGGAGAGGAATTGGTACGTGCCTTCCAAATGCGCCAGACAGTCTCAGTCATCCTGATGCTGTCACGCCTTCCTTATCCGGGCACTATGTCTAGTATAGGACTGACCAATCTCCCACAGGGCCCATGATTTCTGGATCGCATCCGCAAAATTCGTTGACTCCGGCTCAGATGCAGGCTCAACAAGCCGCCCAGCTCCAGGCGAACGATCGCGCGAGGACTCGCAGCCGAAAGCCAACGGACAAGAACATCCCGGAAGGCGTTGAGGAGTGTGTTATTGGAGATGGAGTGCAACGGTACAGAGACCTCCGGGAGCTGGAGCGCCGTCTCGATTCTACGATGATGAGAAAGAGGCTAGATATTCAAGATTCCGTCAATCGAAATGTTAAGGTACGCGGACATCAGCGTTGCCTACCAACTCCATACTGACCCTCGATAGCGTTATCGAACTCTTCGAATCTGGATCAGCAACACAGTGGAGGACCAGCCATGGCAAGCCGACACCCTCGATGTTGATGCATTCGATTTCAGCACGAACATGGACTCCTCCTATCGAGTAAAGATTGAAGGAAGATTAATGGGCGAGGAAGAGGGCGACATTGATAGCGAGGACAGCGAGGACGAGGATGAAGATATGAATGGTGACGCTATGGACGAAGACGGAAAAAAGAAGCCAGAGAAGACACCAAAAACTCCAGCGAAGCAGTACAAACTGTCGCATTTCTTCAAGACGATGACAGTCGAGTTCGATAGAAGTAAGGGCAAGGAGGGCGCAGACCAGAGTGTTGAATGGAAAAAACCTGTCGTTGCACCGAATGCCGCCAATCTTCCAAATGCCGCCGATTTCGACCAGTTGGAGTTCAAGAGAGGAGGTGACGAGAATACCAACATCACCATCAACCTTTTCCGAGATGAGAACCCGGAGAGGTTCCAATTAAGGCCTGCACTTGCAGATATCCTGGACACGGACGTTGCCACACGGGCAGAGGCGGTGATGGGTGTCTGGGAGTACATCAAGGCCATGGGACTACAAGAGGATGACGAAAAGAGGTCGTTTGACTGTGATGATCGACTCCGAGCAGTAAGTAGAATACATGTGGGCCGACAGTACTTAGACTGACACATACAGCTCCTTCAACGGGACAAGGGCTACATCCCACTCCTCACCGAGGCAATTGTTTCACATATAAACCCTCTACCACCGGTCAAGCTCCCATACACCATCCGCGTCGATAAAGACTTTCATGAAGACCCACAGCCAACGATCTACGACATACGAGTCCAGGTTGATGATCCTCTGCGAACTGCTCTCGCCTCCTATATTGTCAACCCCGCCAACGCTACCAGCCTCCGCCAAATCAATGCTCATAATGAGCAGCTTGCGATCCTGGTGCAGAAGATAACCAATTCGAAATCGAAGCATACGTTCTTTGATGCGTTATCGAAGAATCCCACCGAATTCATTGCCAAATGGTTGAGCTCGCAAAAGAGAGATCTCGAAGTAATCTCTGGTGAGGCCACCAGAGGTGGTGGGGAGGACGCGAGCGGAGACGAGTGGAGACGTGGCGGAAAGGAGAGCATCTGGGCTAGTGACAATGTCCGAGAAAGCGTTAATTTGTTGGTTGGGCGCCCAAAGGTTTAGATTTCTCACCATGTGTTTCATCACGGGCAAGGGGAGTTTGGGACGGCATGGACTCGGAAGAGTATGTAACCTTACTATTGCCAGAATACGGAATCCATAAAAGTTCCATAGTACCCTAGAGGTAGTTTTTTTTAACCTTATAATTGCTTTTCTGTACCACTGCCAAGTTTCACTTTTCATATCTTCATGTTTTTCATCGACTCCTCTGCTTCGATCATATAATCCTCTCTCCACCTGGTCAACGGAGGCCGACCCTTCACCAAATCCTCTCTGTCCCATCGCATCCTCTTCTTGTCCGTCTCCTCCGTAACATCGTTATCCGGACAAATAACATAAAATCCCCCTTCCTCCATCTTAGCTTCCAGATAATCAACAACCTGCTCAGGCCACCACGCCCCCTTAGGCTTCTCCTTCTCGCCCTTCTTTGATGGATCATTTCCCGACAAACCAGTAAACGTCCAGCCCGGAACAAGCAAATGGACCGAAGTCGTCGGCGACGATTTCGAAAGATCAAATGATAAGTGCTCAGCCAGTGTCTTGACAGCAGCTTTTGAAGCATTGTATGCTGCGTTTCCGGGTGGATTCGTGATTCCCTGCTTCGAACCGGTGATGATTACACTTGATGGGTGCGAGGCCGTTGAGTGGGATGTGACGAGCGGGAGCAGGGTGTTGAGACCATGGATCACGCCGAAGAGGTTTACGTCCATGATCTTGTGGAAGTAGGAGCTGTCTTCCCAGCTGCCTTTGAGGCCAATTCCTGCATTGAGAGCAAGGAGGTGGATTTCACCTGAATATATCATCAGCTCATCTCCTCATCTCCTGAGACCTCACTCATATCCGAGGGGAAAAGTATAATTGAGAGATAAGTACCTCCGAAGTCCTTTTCCACCTTAGCCTTCAGCTTCTCAAAGTCCGAGACCTTGCTAACGTCCACCTCGACCGTCTCAACCTTGCCTTTAATGCTCGACTTTGCAGAAGACAGGTTGGCGCTGTTGTTGTCTGCAATCAACACGCTCATGCCGTAGCTTGCACATTTTGCTGCGAGGGCGAGACCGATTCCGGAGGCTCCACCTGTGATGACTGCGAGGTTCCCGGATCTGAAGACGGGGTTCGAAGACATTGTTGATGTGGTGGTCAAGCTCCGAAGGGGGGGTGGGAATGCGGGGTATCTTGGTTTTTGAAAATGGGGGTGAACAAAGAAAGAGTCTGACTTCGATGCTAATTGAAATTTGTTTAAAATTCTTGGAACAGCACAAGCGATGAGAGTTCCCACATCAATATCTGAGCAGAATGAAGTTAAATACTGGAGCACTGAACATCATGAGATGTGTGACGTATGATTTGGCTGATTGATCGGAAATAGGAGGAGCTTTATCTTATCGCCGATTAGACGAGCCCCTGAATGTACGAAAGGGGTACTTGGACCTTGAAGATCTTTTACCTATTCCGATTTCTGTTTAAAGCCTCTTTCAAGTTCTAAATGCCAAGGCATTAACTCTATCTATTACTAGTAAATGTACCTGTGTTGTTTTCCGTCGCTGAAAGACAAACTCTTTGCTGAAGAGAAGAGGACGTATGCTAAACACCTCGAACGCCATCGCTGAAATCAAACCTATCCTTAAGGGATATATGCGCAGAACTCTCGCCAAGCCCATCTAGATCTCACTGCTGCATTACCCAGAGACCGTCGGTTTATCCTTCACGTTCGTCCCAGCACGCCCATTCATCTGGACCTTCTGCACATCCTCAACGTTTTTACCCTCTGCGATGTCGTCAACCACACCCTTCCTTGGTTTTTCTGTCAACTGCAACTCCTTTCTCTGCTCAGCAAAGACCCCGTCCAAACTTTTCCCTTTCCGTTTGGCGTCTAGAGCCTTCTCGGCCATCTCAACGTTCTCAAATGCCCCGTTTGCTTTCCACGTTTTGCGCTCTCTCATGAAGTGGATCCTCCCTCTCAGGCCTTGGCTGCGTTTCTCTTCCATGATCGCCCAGACTTGCTGAACCACCGACCAGCCGTGGCTGACTGCCTCGATTGCTCTTTTCGACTCTTCATCATTGAGGGCTTCAATATCTCTCTGACCTTCGAGAATCCTCGCTTTGCGAATAAACTTTGTTGGCTGCCTCCCCCTAAGTAGCTCTTTATGCATGCCTTTGAAAGTGTAGCCGAAGGGGCCAATAATGGCAGCAAGATCTTTGAGGACAAAGCCAGTGAGGCCCATTCCAACTCCTTTCACGAATCCTGTAGGACCGCCGTCTCGTGCACCGTTGTAAGGCTGTACTACGAGTCCTGTGACTCCATCGTAGATTCCAAGGACGAACTCCTCCCCAGCGGCCCTGAGGCCCGATTTCATACCTGTTATTCTAGTAGGTCTACAGTCTTATCAATGTCTGTCAATAGGTGGGTTATAGAAAGATGTCTTACCGTCGTACAGTTGAATCGCCATAGAGCCTTGGAGCGTTGTGAAAACCTACTGAATCAGCTTTGATATAACTAGGACAACGATCGTGGCATATTAGCTCCATATGAGAACGTACCTTGAGCGATGGCCAATGAAAGATCCATTGGCGCTCTCGCAATTGCCTCTGCAGTCTTGCCAACCCCAGCCCCGACATCTTGAGCCATTTCCTCTATAGCATTATCCCCCGGGTCATCAGACAATTCCGACTCGTCATCCTCTTCTTCATGCTGAGCCTCGGTATCTGCTTCTCGCTTCTGCGATAATGGTTCTCCGCTGGCCGTGTGTTTTCCCATGTCAGGGCCGATTGTGGCCTTTTCGAAGCCGGTTCCTGGCGCCTTCGAATCTGAGATGTGGCCGGAGGAGTCTTCAGCAGCGACATCGTTCGGATTTCTGATTCCCTTCTTCACGAAATTTGCAGCGGCCTGACTGGTGGTTTCGCTCCCTTCCGCGCCTTTTCCATCAGGAGTTCCGATGTTCGCCGAAATTGGGCTACGACTCTCACTTAGCCTCTGCTGTTCAGACCTCTTTCGCTTCCTCTCTTCGTGCCTTGAACGTCTCTTTGAAGTCTTGGCGATCTTGAAAGGCACGCTGCCGATTCCAGTGGCAATACTGGTAACAGTGCCCATGACCGCGGTTGCGCCACCTGTCAGCGGTTCTCCTGGTCCTTCAAAGTCGTTCCATTGGTTGTGTCTTATCAGTCGCAGCTGTTTCCATGTAATCCTCTTTCTCTCGACAAGCAATTCAGCTGCTAGAGCGCTCAATCGAAGATTCGTATGTTTCAAGCTCCAAACTGCAACGCGATCTTCTAAGATAGAGCAGCGCATGGAATGTTGACCTCGGAGGACGAGACTTCGATGGAAAGAGGTCACCGCATTCTTCGCACCGTCCCCTTCTGCTTCGATGTCCCGGGCGATCTTTTCTGCAGCTTGGCGCGCTTCGTCTGTAAGCAATGTTCGAATGCCTTCTGCGAGCTTGTCTGCTGTGAGACTCTTATAAGGAACAGGCTTCGCTCCTGCACCGGCTTCACCTATCATTGACCCCCAAAATTGTTGGTCACCGAAGAAGGGGACAATGAATGTGGGCTTTCCACATTTCAGACCAATGGCAGTTGTCCCTGCGCCTCCATGGTGAACGACCGCAGACCTGCTTAAATTAGCAACCGATTACGGCTATTCATGCCCAAGCTCCAAAATGCAACAACAGAAGTGAACTACTTACACTTTCGGAAATAGCCAATCGTGGGGCGTATTCTCAAGCATATAGATATTTTCCGGAACATTGTCATCACCAAGGCCACCCCAACCTTTCGACACAAGAGCCCTCACGCCTGCTTTCTTCACAGCCTCGAAGATCATCTTCGTGAACTTATCCGGATCGTCGACCACAATCGAGCCGAAGCCTATATAAACGGGAGGCCCTCCTGCGTCAAGAAATCTCGACAATTCTTCTGGTGGCTCGAAAGAGGACGCAAGATCGAGGAAGACAAAACCTGCAATGTCAATCTCGGGTCCCCAATCGTTGGGCTTCGGTACCAGGCCGGGAGACCAGAGGTAAGTGTATGGAACTTTCAGTCGGTAGAGCTGCCCAGGAGCCCAAAGAGTGGATACAGGTTCTAATCCTAGAGTCTTGACTCTGAAGTTATTGACCAGGTCGCCGAGCCTAGATTTAAGTTAGTATACGAAACTACCTATTGCTCCAGCTCAAAGACTCACCCCTGCCATGTCATCATTTCCACAAGGGGATAACTCATAAAATTGGCGTAACCTGGATCGACATTTGACTTCTTGATATTTGCCAAAGGATGTGGAAATGCTTGGGTGGGAGTGTACGGAAAGGTAAACATAAGGTGCAACGGAATACCGAGTCTTTCTGCACAATGAATATGTGCAAACGAAGGGGGGTTGGCGATGATTGCATCTGCAATAAAAGGCTGCGACCTGATTAGTATGGAATTTACCTGCTGTTAAGAGTGAGATCTGGGGCTGAGGAGCCAAGCTCCGAAACCAAATGCGAATGCCGGCTCCCGTGAACGCTCCCGGGCTCTGAACTCCCATAGAAGAAAGTAGAAGCAGCATTAAACTTACCGCCTTCTCGCCCATCATCTTCAGATTGCTGACGTCTTTCTCATCATCCGTAGCATTGATGCAAGCACGCCAGAAACCTTCAAACATCTCCGCCATCTGGTCCCTTCTGCGACCAACCTCACCCTTCTTCAAAGTATCCATAGTTGGGATCATTCCTGGATTTTTCACCATAAACGCCATGAGTTCCGCTGGGTCTCCTCCCACAGAAAAAAACTCGAGCCCAGAATCCTTTTGGACAAAGTCTTTGAAAGCAGGGTGAGTAGCTATCCGGACTTTGTGCCCATATTCTTTCAAGTTCTTTCCTAACTTCAGGAAGGGTTGAATATCACCACGACTGCCGATTACCATGACCACAATGTTCAGCTTCGGCCGGGGTAAATCAGAAGTGAGGTTTGCCTCTGACGATGCTCGCGAGTCCTTGCCCTTACTTTCTTGACTTGTTACGGGAGTGGCGCCCGTCATATCTTCATCAGGAGATGGACCCAGATGTTTCAGGAATGTTGCTCCCAAAGCCTTCGCCAAATAGCCCCGATTGTTGGTCTCCTTAACACTGATGTTCAATCTCCCGTCCCTCCGCGAGACCCTGCCCTTCGTTTTGAAGTCGTCGTTTCCCACATTGAACCTCGAGTACGACCCTCTGCTCCCTCTGCCTTGTCTTCCACGTGCTCTGCCTTGCCGATCATTCGGCGCTCCCGTATCGTCCTCGTCCTCAGAAGAAGTCGTTGTGGACTCGTCGTCGCCATTGTCCAATCTGTTCCAAATCGCCCCATTCAGCTTGGAAGTGTTGGTGGCGTGGCGCTTCAGACCTGGGCCGTCGGAGATCGATGTTTTGGCGGTCGGTTTTGGTCTCTCAGTTTGCCACTGTTTCGAGATAGTAGGTCGCGCGGCTTCCCTCGACGTTGCGCGGTCTTCACAAGGCGAGGGAGGCCTCGGGATCTCTGCAGAATCGGAAGGATAGTTGACTTCTCTTGCTGCCGAATCGGTTGTCATGATGTATGTGGGCGTCTTGAAAGCTGAGAAGCAGACACAGCATCCCGTAACAAAAAGGAAGAGTGAGAACAAGTGGGAGAAAGGCAACTGAATAAATCACGCCAGAACTGAACTTAGGGAGAATGAGCGTCAAATTCCCTTACCTTAGTGCGCGCTACGTCGCCATCGCGATCCCCAGCACAGAATCTTGTAGTTGTACTGATAGCGATGACGTTGAGCATCCGAGCTCGATCTGGAACAGCTCTGCGCCAACAAGAACACTTCGAGCCTGGAGCGTTCCTCCGGCCGCCCTAATTTTAGTGCCATGCCTTGGCAGCATCCCAGCCAGCAGCGCCTCGGCAGGGAGTGGGAATGCCGGCCAGGGGTTGCGATATCTGTGCGACAGGCACCGTGGAACCGCAAGGGGGCGATCAAGAAAATCCGAGGCGAAAGACATACAGTTCTCTGTTAAAAGCTCTAATTGGGACCATAAAGTATATACCAACGATTGCGGCTGTGTGCACCCTCAACTGCGGCGCATTCAGAGGTTCCCAATCCCCCAATTACTCAAAACACCATCAAAGCATTTGAGGGCGAATACGCAAGCTGTATAGCAGAATATCGGAAGGGCACTGAATCACTGACCGATTTGAAATTGATACCTTGGAATATGGCGCGCATAATGTGTTAAAGGTACGGGACTTGTGCCAAGCAATGAGAATATACGCAGGCCTGCAGCTGAGCAGACCAAGGCCCAAATATGCCTCTGAGCTTGTGGGGTATTGAAACAGAAGGATCGGGAAGAGCAATGTTTAGTGTGCTTTACAAGCGGGCATTCTTGCGTACAGTGTCACAGGGGAGCACTCTATGGCTAGGGTTTAGGGAGGACTATTGCACATCAGTTGTAACTACTCGAACGCATGACTCTCCACTTTAAAAATACAAAAACAACGATAACGCTTGAAATAGAAGGATCTAAGATGTTACGTTACCGCATGTTTCGATGTGTTTGGTTAAAAGGAAGAGCGGGGATTCTAATGTAGATACGAACTAATGTGGCTTTATGATTACGCCTTAGATGCGGCGTAGTTCCTTGTCTCCAATGAGGCTGGATTAACCTTTGTTGATTCATGAATGACAAGAATATATATAACGAGGTCAAATTCATACCTTTCACTTCCTGTTTGTCTCGAACTCATTTCAATTCCACCAGGGTGGAGCTATGATCAGTCAAATTGTTTTTCACAGCTTGTGTAATCATAATGATGTTGGTGAGAAGAGTCGACGAATAACTCCTAATTACGTCCTTTATTAGACGGCGCCTAAGGGCTCATGGTTCATAAACGCAAGTTCATTTGCTAATCACGGAAATTTTTCTGACTTGTACAACTTTAGCACCACACTTATGGTCCTACGTGGATATAACGTGAGTGACGACACGGTATCCGTTGTGGCAGGTCTTCTTGCTCCTGATCCCGTTGAATTGTTTATGTCCTATCTATCTGCTAACGTAAGCTCTAATGGATGGTACCCTCACGAAGCAGCTGTTATTATAACTAGTATTTCCTCCCTGTACTCCACAGATATGTAGAGTCTAACAAGTGGCACAGCCACTACAAGGCACCGAGTCACGTGTACCATACTGATTACGCTACTGGGGGAATGTTTCCAAGAAGTGCAGCCAAGAGAAGAGGCTGCAGACAAGTACTAACCATGCCTTACTTCCTGCCGGCATCCGGATACAATTAAGGAGAGCCTTGCTGTTAACAATACTTTATCCCCCTTTTCCAGCAGATGTCGACTGCTGCTTCGGCAATCAAAGTTTACACCAGCTCGCCAATAAAAAGGGGTTTTGTCGGTTCACAACGACGCCCCTTTTAAAACAACATAAACGAGTTCGATTAGGTCTAATAAAAGTGATACGAAGCCGCTCCCCGCCAAAAGCGGCGTGGTACTGCACACCAAAGAATGTAATCTCGGATATATTTCATATCACTGTCAGCAGAGCGCAGCCAAGTTCGGTTGCTTCCATCTGCCTTGAGTGTTCTCCTCCCGTCCTTTCAAGCTCTCCTTCCCACTCTCCAATCTTCCGGCTCCGGCGTTTCTCTAAAACTAGTTCCGTCGTTTCTAGCATCTCGAAACCCCCAAAGCCTCGTCTCGGCATAGCTAAATCGCACTCCTTCAGCCCAGTTGTGCTCCTCATTTCCATTCTCTGTGCCACCGTAAAGACCCATAAAACCGCCCTGCGACATGCCCGTGGGCGACACGGATCTGCCTGCTCCTCGGCGTAGTGGCGTGGATAATTGTTGGACCTGCTCCGAGCTCGGTCCTCCCCTATTTCCGCTATCGACTCTGTTTCCACGCGAACCTGCACGTCTTACTGGCGCGGTAAAGGAAGGATGGAATCGAGATTGATGCCGGGCTTCGGGCAAATAGGCTGGTGTTTGCGGTTGAGAAGATCGAGGTAAAGCGTCATTGTAGACTTGGTATGTTCGAGATGGCGTTCTGGGTGCGACAACGGACGAGGGAACGCGACCCTGGCCACGACGAGCAGCAGAAGAGGGTGGCGGTGAAGGCGAAGGGTGTGTTGTTGGGTTGTGGACCCGATAAAAACCTACCATGGTCTCGGCTGCTCGTCTTATGAGACTCCTGGGACTGATACCGCTTGCAAACTTTTGCAAGAGATCAGCTTTGTCCAGGGGGTTGGAGAGGCCATCTTACCGGAGGACTTGAATCTATTTCGCTGACATGCTCCAATCCGCTTGGGCTTGAATTTGGGGTTGGGTGTCTGCCTTCGACCCCGCTCCTGACAGGTGTATTTGAGCTGCTTCTAATAGGGCTAGTCTCGGGATTCTGAGGGGTGTATTCGACACCAGGTAGAATATCAACTCCCGAGACGCTACGAGAAACTGCTGAGAAAGGCGGCGGGAGTGATAGCTGTGGAGAGGAGAAGAGGAAGTCCTTCAGGTTAGATGCCGCCTCTGCACTTTCGTCTCTAATTCGTATTGTTGAAAGTTCCTCTACCCAAGGCTCAGGAAGAGCGTGAGACGTTCTAGAAGTGACTCTCGAACTCTGTAACGAGCTTCCACGAAGTTCTTCATGAAGGCTTAGATCGCCAGACGGCCGAGGGGTACTGCCAGTTGTGGATGTGGATGCGACACGTTCCTGCTCATAAGCAGCACTGGCTCGTTCTGACGAATCGAATGAGAAGCTATTTGTTTGATGTCTAAATGTTCGCGGTGGTGGTCGCCGCATTCGTCGGGCCGGTTGGGCAAACATGATCCCGGGAGTGTTGTGAACAGCCACGCTAGATTCGACACGAGGAGTAAGTCCAGTGGTTGGACGGTGCTCTGGTGAGCTTGAAGCATTTTGGGATAGGAATAACGGGGAACGCGGAAGCGGTATTGTGTTGCGAAGTCTGTTTGTGTCTGGAAGTCGAATATTTTGTGGAGTGGGGATATCAGCAGGTGCTGCACAGTAAATTAGAGGGGAGTTATTCTCGGAGAAGCGCAACATACCGAAGGATGAGGACCTGTCTCGTGTATTTTTCGAAGGCCGGTCAGTTGGACTCTCGACAAAGCCACCGTAGTAGAAATCGTCCTTTGATGGCGCAGGAGACCACTGCAAATCACGAGCCGGATTCTCGGAGCCAATGGTGACATAGTCATGTCCGTCTTCTAAGTCTGTACCGGTTGGACATTCGTCTACCGTAGTATTGGATGATTTGGGGGAACGTGGTGCCTCATATTCGTCGTGCTCTAGAGTCGGGGCGATCCGAACAGGCCCGTGTGGTATACTTGTCTGAAGAGCCAAAGGTCGGTCTTGGTCATCTGTAACTTGTTCATCTCGAGTCTGCAGCTTCCGTGGTCCCACCTCAACCGCAATTCCTTGAGTGCGCTGGGATTGCAAAGGGGCAAACTCGGGACCCTTTGGTCCGCCCACTGCAAAGCGCGAGAACTCTTCGTTCAAGATTTCCACCTCCCGACGACGCTGTCGACGGCGTTCAAATTCTCTGAGGTCGCTACGGCTCAAGACAATTGTTGTAGGAGGCAATCGAATCATAGCTGCATGTGTGGAACAAATTATGTGAAGAGAGAGACGTGAGAGGCAGAGTAGACGGACTGCGAGGAAGGAAGTCTGTTGGCAAATTGGCCCAAAGGGCAAGATGGAGAGGAAATACATTTGGAAGTCACGATGGTGTTGGGTTGTACGGTGGGCAATTGTTCGTACATCAGAAAACGCAACTACATTCCCCGGAATCCTTATTCGAGACGGGTGCGAGAAACGTGTGGTAGCTATCTGTTTACGCAAAGAGGGAAAGGCGGACAGAATCCGCATCAGCTTGCTTGAAAGAAGTCTCCGTAAAGGATGTTCAAATCTTTGGAAAGGAACGAGCAAAACAGGCGTAGCCGCCACAAGCATCCCCCCCTGAATGAGAACTCTCTCTCGCAATGCTATTATTGAGTACTCTTACGAGATGTGAACCTTCACAGTTTCCAAATCCGACGCCCACTCGCGGCTGTCTCGATTTGACGATCCAACTTCTCGAACCAGTATCGAGTACTTACTCACCCCATTTGGATCCTTGAACGCAGCCCAACAACTCTGTCTCTCCTCCCTTCCCCCCTTCCCCCCCAACGTCCGGCCACCATTGAAACAGATGGAAGCGACATAAGATCTAATAAGTCGATTGAGCATCGAAGGAAGCTCCTGTCCCGCGGCGATGCTATTTGATTAGACTGGGAGTCTCAGCTCGTCCGATTCCGCAATCTCCCTTTACGGCTTCGTGTAAGAAAGAAGTTGCCGTGGCCCGTGACAATTTGGGAACGTTTGCACGGTACGGATTTTAATCTCCCTACCCGATCTCATCAAATGCTAGCTCATCGAGTAATCAGACGAATTCCCGCGCCTGGCCCACTCGATCTGGCGTGGCGTGGACGAAGGTGCTTTGCGTTATGTCTTCTGGTTCCGGTGCCGTTGCGAGTTCCGTCCGACTCTCTTGAACCGCAATGCAAAAGGTCCAAGGCTAAAACAAAACATGAGCGTAAATTGTAGAATTTCCGTGCGCCCTGAGAGCAGACAGAGCCACAGACTTGCAGACTGGACCCTCGGGCAGGCTTCCAGAAAGATTCCAGAAAGAAGCCATGACTCGACTGGAGTTGTTCCCAACGTGGCAACGTCCCGACTTTCACATAAGTTGAGCCAGCTGGCAGCTGTAAGCTTTTTAACGAGATGAACAGGCACAGGACGAACTGCCCGCAGGCCTCAGCCGCAGCCCCAAGCGGCAAGCCCAATTACGAGAACCGTCAACCACGGGTTCACGGGTCCATGGCCCCCAGCCGCCCAGCCCAATCCGAGTCGGCGCCCCACGGCCCCCCCAGTCGACTCGCCCAAATTGGAGTGAGTGCCGCGAAGCGCAGAGCAGCAGCCCAGCGTAGAGGCTGCAGAGCAGAGCAGAGCAGAGCAATGCAGAGTAGAGCAGTGCAGTGCAGTGCAGAGCAGAGCTTGTGTGCAGCTTTGTCCCTATTTTGTTCCCAGTTTGCTTCCCATCTGCCCTTCACTGCCGCCCCTAACCCCCCCTCCCCCCTCCCAGATCTGCCAGTCCAAGCCAAGCCCGTCCGAGGCGTCTCTGCTCCCAGCGGTGACATGACAGAGCCCCGGATCTCCACTATTCGCTGACGCAGACGAGGACCCCGTCCGTCGCCGTCACCGTCACCCCGTCACTCCGTCGCCGTCGAGGCCATGGACAATGATCTGAGCCTTTCTCAATCGTTCGGAGGCTTGCGTATCGCCAACCCAGATGCATCATCGCCAGGAATCGAAAACGTGCCTACCAACCCGGTGCTAGACGCTTCATCAGTTCTGGCGCCCTTCCGATCCGCAGATGTGACGGACCCTCCTCCGCCTCTAGGATCGAGAGACGCCAGATCCTCGACAGATCCCCAACCGCAATCTCGCAGACACTCTATCTTTAATATCATCCGCCGCGGTGAACCCTCCCCTGACTCGCTGCCTTCATCACGAACTCCTCCGCAATATCTCGAGGGAAAGTGCGCGCCTCCAAATACGCGGTCCGATTCCAGTGGCAGTGAATCGTCCAAAGCACAAAGTGATCCGCTCGCACGAGCTGCAGCCTCAAAGCCGAATCGTCAATCGATGCTGCCCCTGAATCACCAAGAACAACAGCAAGCTCAGTTCCCACCATATCAGCTGAATGCAATGCAGAACGGCAACAGAGGCTACCCCCCTGCCGGTTCATCTCGTCCTGTTTCAGGAGTCTATTCAGCTCAACCTCCTCCCAACACGATACCCTCCCGGGAACCCGGCTCATACAGACTACGAAGTGAATCATCAAGATCGCCAATGGCTGGCATACCTACAAGAAGTGATTCACGAGGTGGCACAGCAATGCAGGCAGGTGTCCCATCGAGAGAATTAAGTCACAGAGACCGTTCCTACAGTCAGAACCATCCCTTACCGGCTGGGAACGGACCTTTACCACCACGGCGAAGCTCGAGGGGGATGGGTGGAGGTCATACGGAAACTGCTGCGGGCTCTTCGAATTCCCCGGCCCCGAGATACGACTTAGACGGCAATCTCGTGCCCAGCAGTGAGGAGTGGAAAGACAAGGGTGCAGCGGTAGGCGTCCGGGAGGAAATAGATGCGAATGGGAGGGTGGTGTATAGACAGGTTAAGAAGGGCGTGCGGGATTTCGTCTTCGGCCGGACATTGGGAGAGGGTTCATACAGCACCGTGGTCTTGGCAACAGACAGACAAACACTGAAGGAATACGCGGTCAAGATTTTGGACAAGAAGCATATCATCAAAGAGAAGAAGATCAAATACGTGAACATCGAGAAGGACACCCTCAACCGACTGATCGAGCACCCAGGAATCGTTCGGCTATATTACACCTTCCAGGATAGCACGTCTCTTTATTATGTGCTGGACGTGGCTAGTGGGGGCGAGCTTCTTGGGGTTCTGAAGAAGATTGGTTCCTTCGACGAGGAGTGCACACAGTTCTACGGAGCAGAAATTCTGGATGCGATAGAACACATGCATAACAGAGGTGTGATTCACCGGGATCTCAAGCCTGAGAACGTTCTCCTGGATGACCAGATGCACATCAAAATCACCGACTTTGGGACTGCAAAATTACTACCAGACCCACGAACACCGAAGGAAGCGACTCCGTATGATCCTGCAGGACAAGACGAAGAATCGACACGGGCACGATCTTTTGTTGGAACGGCAGAGTATGTCAGTCCCGAGTTGCTCACAGACAAAAATGCCTGTAAAGCCAGTGACCTGTGGGCTTTTGGGTGCATTATCTACCAGCTTTTGACCGGAAGACCTCCTTTCAAAGCCGGGAATGAGTATCAAACATTCCAAAAGATAGTAGGCCTGGACTACCAGTTCCCGCCCGGATTTCCTCCGGCTGCCAGAGATCTAGTTGAACGCCTCCTGGTTCTCGACCCACAAAGGAGGTTGTCGATCGAGCACATCAAGAATCACGAGTTCTTTGATGGCATACAATGGGGACGTGGGCTCTGGAAGATGAAAGCACCACGGCTGAAGCCTTATATCCCCCCTACTCAAGAACCCACCATCATTAAGCTCAATGGCTATTCGAGCTCGCCTCAACCAATCCCCACATCCCGGGCACAGCAAGCGCCCTCCTCAAATGGTAATCCTCGACCCCAACCAAGAGTAATCACGGAACTACCACCACCGACACAGCTCGATATTGAATGGTCACCTGTTCTGACACGGAACAACGAGCGAATATTAAAACTTGGAAATCTGATGGTGCTATCGACTCCACTCCCACACAGTCCAAATTCGCGGAATGGAGAGAATGGAGAGGCTCACGAAAAGAAGGGACTCGCAAGGTTTTTTGGTGGCAGCACTACCAAGAAGAGGCAACGACTCGTGATGGTGACATCCAGCGCTAGGATTATCTTGGCTGCTGCAGGGGGGGACGAGAAGAAATCGAAGTCAGAAATTTCGCTCCTCGCATCGGAATGCTCCTGGAGAACGCAGTTGGATGCAAAGGGTCAAGAAGTGTGGTGTGTTGATACTGTAAGTTATCTTCCCCGCAATCGTCCAAATCAAGTTTCTGACTAGAATTAGCGCGGAACACACTACACTTTCGAAGACTCCAAGACCTCCGTGACAACCGGAGACCCAACAAAAAGCTCGGCCCAGGAGTGGATTGAGTCCATAGAGCGTGCCAAAGACATAGCGCTTTCCCAAAATACTGCAGGCTCATACAACAGCGATACGGGTTTCGACATGGGCTCTTCCGTCTCGAGTCCAAGCAGTACTCTTCACGGTAACAGCATATACCCAGAGGGCTTTAATGTCACAGATCGAGCGGGACGAAACCATCTAACTAAGAGCCAAGCCAGCTTGGGTGGAGAAGAGCATGTTGAAAAGGCCAAGAAGCATCGATTCAGTAAGAGACAGTCCAAAAACGGACTTTCCACTCCATTTTGAGGCGAGGGCTCACCAGCTCTTTTATAACGATTTTCGGGGAGATCGTGGAGGGCGCACTTAGCATAATTCGGTTCGTGGAGCATTTGATAGCGCGGCGCTGGTTTGATTCACTTCTTGCATTCCCTTTCATACCACCTTTTGATAGGGCCTTTTACGAATATCAAGACGCTTCTCTTTTCTTTCAGGTCAGCCTGGCAGGCTTGGGGCTCGGGGTTACTTTGCGCACATCATCGAGCATAGCGTTTTGGCTAGATCTATAGGCGGAACGATTTATCGTTTGGGTGGTTGTGGTATTTAATTACGTGCTTATGCGGTGGCTTTCATGTAGAGAAGATTCCTCGCTGCTTAAGACAGGTTTGCGCCGTTGCTTTGCAAATGTAAAGTAGAGCGATGCTGAAAGTGAAGGGCCAGCATGGTCTTGTGGGCAGCGATTGAAAATGCCAGACTTTTTGAGCTCGAATCATTGATCCAGCAAATAATCTGAGATCCAGCCCTTAGAATGTCCCGCGCTCTTCCCACACACTTAGACATCCGATATCTGGAAAGCTCTAAGCTCTCCTTGTATATTCGTAGTGAAACCATCCAAACTTCGAAGGTGAATCCATGAGTGGGTCTCCAGCACTCCCAAACCCCTTTTCTAGACGCACGTGACAAAATATAATTCGTGCCTCAGGAGTGTCATGACGTTTCCATATGGCGCAAGTTGTCTATTGGTCAGCACTCCCATTATTTACTCACTCCACTCCGTCGGGCCCTCGCGATGGCATCCCAACCCTCACTTACACCCTCAAGGAGGCTTCTCGTCGATCTGCAGAAGTGCGAGCTGCTGATTCAATCACACTCTAGACTTCGAGCTTGAAAAGCCATGGCACCCGACAGAGGAGAAAGCCAGGACTACCAGTCCATATCAACCCCACCTTCCACCTCTCGCCGAGATGAAGCCTCTGACGGCACAGAAGAGCTTCGACGACGCCGTAGCAATGCCCGCAGATTCATTGCCAGCCATGCAAGCGAAGGGCAGAACTTCACTGTTCGAGGTATACTCGTTGGCCTGGGGGTCGGCCTGGTCATCTGCTTCTCCAATATGTACTTCGGGCTGCAGACTGGATGGGTCTCTAGCATGAGCATGCCTGCCTCCCTTATCGGCTTCGCCTTTTTCAAAACTCTGTCGAAGCATCTCGATCTACCATTCACACCCGTTGAGAATGTGCTGGTGCAGTCAGTGGCTGGGTCTATGGGGACGATGCCGTTAGGATGTGGATTGGTGGGCGTGATGCCAGCGTTGAACTACATGCTGGAGCCGGAGGAACAAGGCCCAATTGTTCTGGGTCTGCCCAAACTTATACTCTGGTCGCTGGGGCTATGTTTCTTTGGCGTGGTCTTCGCTGTGCCTTTGAGGAGGCAAGTCATCATAAGAGAGAGACTGAAGTTTCCTTCGGGAACAGCGACGGCATTAATGATTGGCGTGCTTCATGGCAAGGAAGCCACAGCCGATGGCCCGATCTGTCGGACTACCTCTCGGGATCTTACTTCACAGGACAATAGTACTCAGTCGTACTCGAACATTGATGAAAGGTCTGCGGACGTGGAGGAGCTGACCAAGAATCAAACAAGCAGTTGGCAATCTAGAGTCAAACTCCTCATCATATCGTTCGTCATTTCTGGGCTATATACACTTGCAACATACTTCTTCCCAATCTTACGCAATCTTCCTGTCTTTGGATTTACGCTTGCCGAATCTTGGCTCTGGACTCTCAACCCATCATTGGCTTATGTTGGACAAGGGATCATTATGGGTCCGGCGACTACATTGCACATGCTTCTCGGAGCTATCGTTGGATGGGGACTTCTCTCTCCGCTGGCAAAAAATAGAGGATGGGCTCCTGGCCCCGTGGATAAATGGGAAACGGGATCCAAAGGCTGGATTGTGTGGGTATCCTTGGCAATCATGCTGGCCGATTCAATTATTAGTCTTGGTTACATCGCTCTCAGGCCGCTGGTTATGCACAGCGGAGAGTATGCAGAGAGTATCCGCCAGATCATCAGAAAAAGGGACTGGAAAGGCTTCCTATATCTTGGATCCGGCAAAAGCGGGGGAGATTATGCACTACTGCGAGAAGAGGTATCTACGCCACGTGAAGAAACCAGATCAAATTTTCAAGAAGACCTTATTGTGTCCGACGAAGAGATCAAGGGTCTCCCGGAACCGGACGCTCCTCCTGAGCACTTGGTGAACGATTCCACTGTCTGGGTCGGCCTGGTACTGTCCGTAGTGTTCTGCATCGTAAGTATCCGTGTCGTCTTTGGGGCTTTGGTCCCATTCTACGCCATTATTATCGCAGTTTTCATGGCTCTCGTCCTCTCTATCATGGGCGTTCGGGCCCTGGGCGAAACAGACCTCAACCCGGTCTCGGGAATCAGTAAACTAGCTCAGCTCTTCTTTGCGATCATTATTCCGCAATCGAACAAGAACTCGATCCTGATAAACCTCGTCGCAGGCGCCGTCTCCGAGGCAGGTGCATTGCAGGCTGGCGATCTCATGCAGGATCTTAAAACAGGGCATCTCCTGGGCGCAGCTCCAAATGCTCAGTTCTGGGGTGGAGTTATTGGAAGTGCTTTTGGCGCAGTTATCAGTGCCCTGATATACAGGCTATACACAAGCGTATACGAAGTCCCAGGCGATTTGTTCCAGGTTCCAACAGGCTATGTCTGGATTTTCACAGCGAGATTGGTTACTGGAAAGGGGCTGCCCATGATGGCATGGCAGTGGGCGTTAGGAGCAGCTATTATTTTCACATTTACGACAGTAGCAAGGATCTTCGGCACAGGGAAGCCATGGCACCCCTATATCCCAGGAGGGATTGCGGTTGCCGTAGGGATGTACAACGTCCCATCGTTCACACTTGCGCGAGCAATCGGAGGTATGGTGAACTGGTACTGGCGATCCTATCGACGAAAAGAAGAAACCCCTATCGTGGTGCTAGCCAGTGGGCTTATTCTAGGGGAGGGAGTCATGAGCATCGTGTAAGCAGTGGGCGAACATCCCTTTTCTTACTCTGAATATTCTCATCATCTTCCTCGAGACAATGTCCAATTTTCCCGAAGTACTTTCATGAAGCAATTGCTGACTTTTGCGGTACCCAGGAACCTTCTCTTAGCGAGTGCCAACGTGCCACATCGATAGATGACTTACATCTAAAATACATTAGATAATATACCCCATCATTTAGCGCATACGCTCTTAAATCGTGCTACTTCTCATGTTTTCATTACACACCACACTTTTTAATCCCTTTCCTTAGTCCTACCCTACCCTTACCACCGCATCTTTAGCCCGACTCCGTCGATCCTGACTTCAATCCGCACGGATTTAGACCGAGAAGAAGTTTTTCGGATTTCCTTGCGAAAGTCTTAGCTTGAGGTTAAAGCGCTCCGGTCTTTCTCACTGCACCTTAGCATTGCATGCCGGCCCTTGTTTCGAGCTAGAATAGCTGGAACTGTGTCTCGTCTCTAGTATGCCTCTCCAACCAACAACACAATGAATCCCAGCATAGCATTCTATCAGAAATACTTTCGGTCTTCCCATTATTCTCAAAAATAGATATCTCGCTTTTGCTACTTTTGAATCGGCCAGGCGGAAAACGCTCCGCTGTCGGTCAAATAAAAAGGGGCTCGCCGCGGACAGAAAAAGCGGCTCTGATTTTCAATGTCCCAACTCTAGGCCGTACATTTGGCTGGACTTGGAGAGGCACGAATATTAGTCTTCTGGATTTCGAGATAGTCGAGGAGGGAGACTTTGAATCTACTACAAGTCTATGTAATATTGGCGGGAGTCTTTCTAAAATGTACCAACTAAGCTTGGGACATTGCGAATTCAGTACCACTTTTCCTGTCCACCAGGAGAGGGGTAGGCCGTCAGCGAGTCATGGGCTTTGTTTTGCCGAACATTATGTCTCCTGAGCGGTATGTAGCGGTAAATCAACATGATTTGACTTGGCGAATTAAATATTACAGTTCAAACCATCGCTATGCCAAGCATAATTCAACATCCTACGACATCTGACCATGGCCAATGTCAATCTTCCCAAACAAAGGGTATTATGTATCGGTCCTCAAACGCCACATTGCTGTGCAAACTGTCGCTTCTCTTCCTCTCAGAAACCGAAACTATCCAATAAAGAGCTTGACTCGGGCTCTTCGAACACACTAGAAGGTGGTCTGTGTCTTCCATCTACTGACAGCCTCGGCGGCGTGGGTAAATCAGCCACGACAAGTGAGCTTCGCCTCCGAAGCATGGACAATGGGTTCGGGCCCCCCAAGCTCTTGAAGATCGTAGGGGCGGGGAGAAGGAACTCCCAATTGCGGACTGTGGACAATTTAGCTTTTGATAAGAATAGAGAGGGAGAAGAACTGACCGAGATCTAAAGCCAAGAGATCACAACCCATGCGATCGTATAGCCGAGCGTTATGCAGCACAAAAGCCCATTCTACTTTCGGAGTGACTTTTGAAGCGCCACGCAGAGTTTGAAGGGTCTTCTGTCGGAGTTGAGAGTACAACACGACCAGCGCCGGGTCGTCGGTCAGGAACAGCTTGGCTTGCAGATCTGGAGATTGAGGTGTCTCAAGTAGTGTGTAGACGGGGGACTAAAGAAAGTCAGAATGGTGCCAGAGCAGGAGAGTGTTCAACTCTTACTATTAAGGCCCGTACTGCCATGTCTCGTCTGTGGAGCATCCAGAACGCCCATGATGCCAACCATCGATTGCCTTCTTGCGCAGCCAGCGGAAGAACCTTATCCTCGAGCAGCTCTTTCAGTATGGGCCCTCGCTCTCCCTCGTAGACCCTCGTAACAGCGATCGCTAGCTGAAGATCCTTGAGCTGATTCAGGATCACATTGACGGCATCTCGCAGACAATCTGCCAGCAGGAAGAATGCAGCAGCATACTCTAATTTCACATTAAAACCGTATACCCAAAGATCCCAAGTAATTTCTACATACCATGTCTATGTTTCCCAAGAAGGGCGTAAGCATTTTTCAGCGCAGCGGTCTTCCACTTCTTGTCATGAAAGTTATTCGAAAGAAGTCTTACGGTGGCAGTTTGTTCTCGATTCCAAGCAGCCATACGCCACAAACCTTGTAGCACGGTCTTCTTCTTTAGAGCAAGGTAAAATAAACTGCAGTCTACTGGATTCTTCATGTCAGTTTTCGTGTATTCGTTCCGAGCGATGATCTCGAACTGGGCTTTCTGGACAGAGTCAGTGGATATGGATGGAGGAGATTTCTAGAAAGGCACCTACGAGAGCAGTCGTGTCGGTCATCCACATGAACATGCCGCTCTCGCGGGCATGCTCCCAGAGCACTTTACCATGGAACTGGTGTGATACCATATCTACAAGAATATCTTGACTGTTGCTGTGATACGCCCAATTGATTTCTCTCCATGACAACAGCACTTCATGTGCTCGGCCTCGACGCAGAACATGTTGGCGAAACGATAGCATGAACCTAGCGGCATTGTCGTCCATGGAGCGCCGCTGTTTCTCAACGATTGCAACGCACTCGACAATATCTGCCAAGTGTATTTGCTCCTGTCTCGACAGCTGTGGTAGGGCAATCTTGGTGAGTTTCTCGTTTATGGCAGATGCAACACCTGCCGTAACGGTCTCAATATCTTCTTCGTCATCTGACAAATTACCAAAAGACCTTGTTGCCTTGGTTACGACTGTAGATGATGACATTGTCTGTTGAAGTCAGACTGGCACAAACGAAACTTGGTGGGTTGACTTACATCACTTGGGGTGTAAAATTGTTCGAGATCCATCCCAAGATTATTTTCCAAGGCATCTCCCTCGACGTAGAATTTCAGTGTCTTGAAAAGGGCGAGAAGGATGTGCTGAACTAGCACATTTTTACCAGCAAGAGTACATTGACCTAAGAATTGCGGATGGTACACAGGCAGAGGACCGTTGAGCCTGGTGACAACTTCGAAAAGATCCCATCCTCGTTTACGGTGCGGAAGCCCAAGATCCGTCACCACGGGGGTAGAAGTATCAACCTCTTTGTCGTAGAGAAAAAGTTGGTTGCCCGCACCTATGATGAGATTCCCTCCGCCCAGCCATGTCGAATCTCCGATTGGGTGGGGTGTCATATCGCGGATATTGACCTCTCTGATTGATGCCCAGGCAGGGCCTTTGTTGAGATAGTCATACCGCATTTGAGCGAGGAGGACCACTCGAAATCGGAAGCCCACAGCAAGAATAGACTGATCATCTGGGGTGGATGTCCAATCTAAGTCCTGAATCGTGTCCTGTGATTCATAATCTTGAGCAAACTCCAACTGGGCGCCTCTGACATCCCATATGGTCAATTCGGATCTATTGGAGTTCACAAGCGCCGCCTTTCGTATCGAACTGCCGCTGGCTAACGCTGGCTCGCATATACCGGTATCTACTGAGCAAGTCTGCAGCCAGTCTACCTTCTTTGCTCCGAGATCGATCCTGGCAGTCCAAGATCGAAGGACTCCAGAGTGTGTATAAGAGATAGCAATGTCTCTGGCGAAAGTATCAAGAAACCCCGAGATAACGGGTGGCGACCCAGCTGGATCAACCGGAAGAACATAAGACAAATCATCCGAGTACCCAAGGTCAAATCGGCAGAATTCTCGGATACAGGTTTCATGATATCCGTTTGTTTGAGCTGTGCTCTCGCGGCGTTGGGGCAGTTGAACTTCCCAAACGATGCCTCGCATTTTCGACGTGATTGTAGCAACATGAGCAACAGGGCCTTCTTTCACTAATTCCGGCAACATCAAAATGCAAAGAGGCTTGCCGATGACCTCGTAATCGCAGCTGGCGAGCAGTTGGCCCCGAAAAGACCGAGTGTCCCATAACGAAATTCTCTTATGATGCAAGAAGATGACAAAATTGCCTTTTCTCATCACGCATATCCGGTGGATATGCTCTTGTTCTGTGATGATGCTTTGTCTGAATACCGAGGTTCCATTTTCATGATCCATGTGCTTCCAGATAATGCTTTCATTGCCGTCCGTACGCGAAACAACAGCTCGACCACTGACATTTCGCACGATCTTCTTGATGCTTGAAGTATGCCCAGTCCAAATACCTTTGGCTACGAAACGATCGGCTCTTGGCGAAGGGTCAAACAAATCAGCCACATTACTCTCAAATAACTCAATTTTCCCGTCGAAGTGATGAATTAAGAGGTTCAGCCCCCCACCAGACTTGTTGCAGAAATTGTAAAATTGGATATAAGCTGCCTCATCGTCGAGGTCTTTTGGTAGGCCTAAACCTACACTGTCCACATGTGCAACGTTGAAAATATTTGCTGTTTGCCGAGCTTTACATCCAACATTTTCAAGACCCCAAGCGGACATGTGGCTGGCTTCATCGAAAACGATACAGACTTCTGGGTTACGATTAGCAACCTCAACCAGGTGTGCCAGGGCATGGTCCTCGTCTTCTGCCGACGTCTTTTCTTGAACGGCATGCTCCGTAGCTAGCATGAAATCTCTGCTGTCTATTATAAATGCAAACCGGATATTGGAGCTCTCTTTGAGAGCCGGCCCTCGAGGTTGTATCGACTCTCTCAAGTCAATCTGCGCCCAAAGCTGCAAAATTTGTAGGCCGTGGGGATCAGTTGCGGCCCAAATTCGTACCACATTGTCTGCACATATCGTATAAAGGACGTTCTCAATTGTCTGCTCCACATGGTACGGCCTCCTCCAATGTATACTCGTCACCGTGGCTGGGTGAGGGAGGTAACTGAAATCGAAGCGTGTATCGTCCGAGCCAAAGGATAGCCTCCTCCATATCTTTGCAAGGCGATCATACTTCCCTGTCGAAGCAATATACGCTGAGTCGTAGGAGAAATTGGCAAGTTTGAGGGGATTAGCTAGCTGCTGCTTCCAGACTGTTGACGGCGTGTCCGAAGTCGAGTATAAAGTCAGCCCCACCCCTCCCACAAGAAGCTCTTCTGCTACTCCCCACGACAATGTCGTTGCGGAATCTGACGCAGGTTCGATGATGGAGAAGCTATGTTGTAAAGACCACTAACCCAATCAGCACGGCCCCAGTGACTCGAGGGTTTAGCCCACAGACCTTCAGGGCATCCTCTCCTTGACCATAAGGCTTATAGACACGAATAGTCGATCCTGTACATGTTGCTATCTTTCCAGTTGCTTCATCAATGGCAATGGCATCGAGATACTCGTCGTCATCGTCGTAGATCGTTTGTAAGATGAAATTCGGTGCAGTAAGGATAACAAAAGCATTTCCAGTGATGTATGCCTAGAGGGACATGTTTGATTAGTATATCCTATTCAACAAGTACTTCAAAACGCCCAGAGCTTACAATGAGTCGTCTGTCGTCCCAGTAGCCAGTACAGACAGCTTGGAGCTTCCGCCGTGGCTTTCCCGGAAGCACAGCTCGCATGCTATTGATCAGAGGGCATCGCACAGCATAATTTCCGCAGTGCGTTCAGTCAGACTCCAACTAGTCAACTAGATCTGAATCTGTCCTTGAGTGGTGAGAGGTGCTGGTTGTGTTCTTGCAAAGGTTCTCGTGGGATGACGAGCTTCAAAGACCAGCGCTTGTAGCTTGATGAGAAGGCTACGTGAGGCGAGGCGGCAAGGTGTCCGCTCCCTCAGTCAAATCCACGCGTTTTTGACAGTCACATGGGAACGACTACTTCCTGAGCAGTGATGGTATTTTTGACTCAGATTGAATTAATTTGAGACGTCACTGCCGTCGATTATACTCTAGGGCACCCTTCTGCAGCGTATCAACGTACGTAACTCTCAAATGATAAGCTTCAGGTCTCCTTATCACCGAGGAAGTCAGACCAAACTCCTATTCGTTACACCTTGCGCCGCCCTCATGCACCCCATGCTTCAATATCCTGTGATCCAATCACTATCTATCCGCATACAAAACGCCTTGCTTGCTTGTACCAGAACTCCGCCTCTTCGTCAAATGTCATAAATCCATTGCTGTTATGCCTATTCCAAGTCATTATTGAACTTCCTCTCCACAATATCCTCAAAACCCCCTCCCATACTTAGGTTGCTTTTCCCACGATCTTTTCGAAGCGGTGGCAGAAGTCCGCCAGACCACTGGGCTCGCAATTGCCGCTCGAAGGGTGTAGAAAGGGGCGCTTTTGGAGTCGTTGAGAACTTCGCAGCCACGGCCATCACTCTCTCTGTCCTCTTGGATGGGGTACTTAGATAGCCAGGAATGGGTGTTGAGACTGCGGCCTCGTCTACTCCCTTCGTCCACTCGTCAATCTGAAGGTCGTCTCCAAATTCCGACCACGTCTCTGCTCTTGCTGTGTGTCCCAGCTGGCCGGAAGCAATGACTGACTGAGGCACTTTGACCTCTTTCTTAGGTCGTTGTTGGGCTGCTTTCTGACGCCAATACGTGAACATTTTCCTGAAAGTCCTCTTTGCATTTTTCTCGTAAATGTCTGCGGCGTAGTTCGTCTGAGCCCGTAGCTGGAGGCTGAGAAGACTCCATTTCTTGATAGTCCGACTCTGGCGGCGGTCTTGGTATGTCAAGATTGCTTCGCTGTTATATTCTCGTAACGCATTGGAACGAGCTCTCCAGACGGTTAAATGTTTCTTCAACAGTTTTCCCCGCCAAAGTGATTCCAATTCAGCTAACTCTTCCGTGCGGGCTCGCCAACGGTCAAAAGTGTCCATCCCAATTATGATGATCCGGTTCTGGCTCATTTCTCGTGCCCGAGCTTCGAGGTCAATGGCGTGCTTTGCTTTGTCCAACCAATTTTGGAGGACTCCTCTTGCTAGATTGATCTTAGCCGTTCGGCGAACTTGGGTGTAGGCTGCTTTGCGCTTTTCTCGCTTCGAAGCCTCTGCAGAAGCTCTCCATCGATTCACAGCTTTGGTGGCAAGAAAATAAAATTTGGCATCTCGTGCCCAGTTTTCTAGTTGTCGGAGATGTCGACTCTGCTCCAACCATCTAGATACCACCCTTCCTAGGACCCGTGGAGTTCGAAAATTTGTGGCTGCGCCTTCAAGCTGCTGTCGAGCATCCATTTGGGAGTACCAATGGCCGAAAACAATAGCTTGGGTCCTCTGAAGAATGAACGACTGGGCCGCAGTCTCGTAATAACACGTCTTCGCTCGCACAAGCCGCATCTTTTGAATCCAGATGTGGAAACACCCATTTAGTAGCTCCGCATCAATCTTTCGCCGCCTTTCGGAACATCGTTGTGCAACTATCCATTTAAAAAGAGTAGTTGTTTTTGAATTCTTCTCAATGAGACTTCGAACCATGCTGGTTCGGGACTTATATTTCCAATTCGTGAGTGCTTCTTCAATGATCTTCATGCGGTCTATCGCGGATGCTCTCCTCTCCTGGCGGGTGTGATTCAACCAAGTTTCGAAAGTTTCGCGCAGTAACCTTAATGACACTTCAGTCTGCACTGTGATTGTTGCAGGTATGATCCGTGTTTCATGACGCCATTTTCTCAATGGGACAAGGCGCATGTGGTGGCGGCGATACTGCTCTGCTTCTTGGGTTTGTTGAACCCGAGTTTCGATTTTAGTCCTCCAGGTCCGCCAGGCACGCCAGGTCAGCTTAAGCCTTCTTTCGTCCTCCGCATTGCGATGGGCTTCCCAACTTCGGTGGGATACAACGATCCACCGGAAAAGGGTCTGACGTTTTGTACTTTCAGCCCACCATTCAACGGCTTTGACAGTCCAGAGCTTCTGGATCCACTGTTTGCAAATCTTCTCAGCTAGATTTGCTTCGTACTTCTGTACAGCAAGATTCTCATTCCCTGAGGCGACTGCTTGTCGGTACTTCCACAGAGAGAAGAACTTCTTAAGTACCTGTCGTCGAACTTTGAGTTCATTCACAGCCGTGATGTCCCGCCAAGCATTGAATATTCGCGTCCTGACAATATGCCTCCGCGCCAAGGCTGTGCGTTGAACTTGCTCGTTGGCATATGTCGACCAGTGCGTGAACGCTACATGCAAAAGATATAGATCTCTTGCCCTAGCAGCGCGTCGCTCGATGTGAGCAAAGAATCGCTCTGTCTCGGCAGTCTGGCGCTTTTGGAGTGAAAGAAGGCGCCATGAGTCAAGTGCCGATTGAAGCAGTGCCTTTCTGTCATGACTTCTGGCTACAGAATCAAGGAAATTATTATTTTCCCGAAGCTGCAAAGCTCTGTCCCTCCAGTGCCGTAAGTGACGTTTGGCTAAGGAGCCCCGGTTATGTTGAAAGATTAGCGACGCCTTAATCTGCATTAAGCCATCTGCGTCCTGATCGGAGGGATATCTCCGAGCCGGGATTGCCAAGTCTGACGTTGTGTCATCTCCAAATCTGGATGTGACTGCTGTGATTTCACTCGGAGCACAAAAGTCGTCTGATGCGGGAACTGAAGGATCTGTTGCTGATTGACGAGGGCGTCGTCTTGCCACAGACGGTGATCGTCGACGAATTCTCATGCTACCATGAGTTGAGATAGACCTATTTCGACCCCTTCTTGGTTTATCTGGTCGTGACTTCAGCCAGGTTCCAACGTTATTTTTTGGGTCATCCTCCTTCTGGTTTTGAAAATTCGCTGTTCGTAGTGGAAGTTGCTGATGGGGCGATCGAGCTTCCTGTAAAGCATTTTTTTGAACATTGGCCTGGCTAACCTTCGCAACAGAATAGGCAGAGTTACGTCTCTTTCTAGGCTGTGGTTGGAGATCGTTTCCACCATCCCAAGCCGAGCTTTCGGAGTTGCGCCTCGGACGACGGCGTGGGTCTTCGTTCTCATCCTGTGGCGGTAGTTCGTCTGCTGTTGCAATCTCAAGGCTGTATTGGGAGTCGTCGAGCTGGCTATACTGCTCCTCGTAATCCTCGTGTTCAAATTCAATCTCAATTCCCATTCTCGATAAAGTGTCTTCGAATTTCTCGTACAGCGTCCCTTGACCCCGCAAACCACCAATTTTGAACAGCACTCGTGCGTATCGGCTATCATGGTCTGCATTGATCCCAATCCTGGGGAGTATATCATAATACGCGCTGAACAACGCGTTCGTCGGCAGTCTTTCGCGCTCAGGGAGTTTAGGAAACAGCTCCTGCGCGAGGACGACGATATCATGCAGTATAGCGACATCTGTTCAAAATTATCAGGCAATCTCCCCCACGGAACTGTAAATTAGCTACCTTCGTTACTGTAATATGGTTCCCCTGTTTCTGTAATATCTTGTCCGGCATTGGATTGCGGAGGGCTTCCTGGGGGCGGCATCTAGAGGAAGGCATTCGGCGAGAGCAGAGGATTTCGTCTGTTCAGATGGCGTCGCATGATGGAACTCGATCAGCGCAATTTATCAACAAGGTCTCGAGGTCTCTCGGATGTGTTGTGCATCAGAATATTTTCATGGAAATGGAAATGTGCTCTCGACGCGTTGTTGTTCGCGATCGTTACTGGGGTTTTGAGAGCGCTAAGGGGAGAGGGCTATTCCGCTTTCGGTAATCCGACTCTCGATTTCTGATGACTCGATTTCGACACTTCGACGTGCACCGGAAAACATTGAAAAGTCCTTGTCAGCCTATCGAAACGGATTGATCGATCTAGAAATGCCCTCTCGAGCACGGCCAATTGAGAAGTTCGCTCAAGCTGTGGCCAAATGTTCAGCTGAGGTGAATCGCCTTCGTCAACTTACCATAACTTTCGTATACTAAAAAGACATTCGTAGGCTTCAGTCTATGGCAAATGCATTGTCGCGGACTACAACTCAGTAAACAAGGACAAATGTCTCACTGAGTTTCTCCGACTGAAAGATTGTTATATGGTGAGGTCCCTGAACGCTTCATATCCGAATTTCACTCACAAATTGAAAGGCCGCAGCAAAGAAGGCTTGAACATAGACATTTCATTCCACATCAGCAAATCTATGCAAGCGCAAACCCCTCACGGATCTACGAGAGCTTCGAGAGCTGTCTATATGACGGACATGAGATCTTGCAAACACTAGAGGCTTTCCAGCCACAATCATAATTCATAGTCTGAGCAAACGCAACACAAAGACACTTTTAGAGATCTCCTGCTCCTCTTCTAAAATAATCCCCTCTTCCATCTTGTCTGGAATCTTTCCTTCCACCTCTGTTACAACGTGATGGTCAATTGGTCTCCGAAGTGCCTTCTCGATAACCTTTGCTTGCTCGGTGAATGCTTTGTTGAGACCGATGTTGTCTGGGTCAGAAAGCACCTTGTATTCCATCTTTACATCATCAGTCGGTTGAAGTCCAGCTTTCTTCCGCAGTCGCTGGACACGATTGATGATCTCTCGTGCTAAACCTTCGTCTGCTAGGTCTGCGTAGAGCTCGGCATCCAGGATAGTCAGAACGTCGTCATCTGTGTTGGTCTCCAAGAACTTTGAAGAGTCGTCATCTTTGAGCCCCCTCTTCACTACTAGATCGCCCTCTTCCAATATAATGCCATCCACGACCATAAACTTTCCCAGAACAAATTTATGGACCTGTTCGCTGCTTAAACCTGGAAGGGCTTTCTTGACTTTCTGGACGTCTTTCTTGAGCTTCTTTCCAAGCACCGGCCAGTCCGCGGATACACTGTATTGAACGTTGTATTTAGCTTCGTCAGATGATAAAATGAGATCTCGGATGTTCAACTCTTCCGTGATGTACCCTTCCAAGGACTGGATGTCCTCAAGATACACTGGATCTGGATGGATGACCATCAATGTCTTCAAGGGTGTCTTCAGGCCGACAGTTCGTCTCTCTCTCGAAACTCTGGCCAGTTCGATGACACGTTGCATGCGGCCAACGCGGCGCTCGATTTCCGCGTCAAAGAGCTCTTCACGGACATCTGGGAAAGCGAGAAAATGGACACTCCGAGGATCTGCTCCTTGCAAATCCTTGGGGATGTGTGGAAGTAGGCGCTGGTAGATATTGTCTGTGATGAACGGAGTGAACGGAGCAAGACCTTTCACAAGAGTGAAAAGGACCTCAAATAGGGTGTTTAATGCATGTTGGGTATCGTCGAGACCAAGTTCGCCTTTCAGGCGCTTACGGTTGAATCGAATGTACCAGTTCGTGGTGTTATCGATGAGGTCCAGAAGTCGAGGAACGACAGTGTAAAGACGATAAGCTATGTGTGGTCAGTTCTATTCACATGATGGGCCATAAGTATTTTCTCACCTGCCATCTCTTCGTTCACAAATTTGAGCAGACTCTGGCAACTGGCCAGAATCCATCGATCCATGACGTTGGTGTTTGTTGCTTCCGCGGCAGGGTCGAAGCAGTAGTCGACGTTTTCGATCTTCTTCAAGAGAACAACCTGCCCTTCAAAGAATTTGTAGCTGTTCCACAATGGTAGGAGAACTTTGGCCACAACCTCTTTAACTCCGGCCTCCTTGAAACGTAATGGCTCGGCTCGTACAACCGGAGAGTTGATCATGTAGAGTCGCAACGCATCCGAACCGTACTTGCCCATAACAATGCTTGGATCTGGATAATTTTTCAATCGCTTCGACATCTTTTTACCATCTTCAGCAAGCACAATTCCATTGACTACACAATTTTGAAATGGAGAAACCCCGAACAAATGTGTGCCAAGAACCAGAAGCGTGTAAAACCATCCTCTTGTCTGATCCAAGCCTTCCGCGATGAAATGGCCAGGAAAAGACATTTCAAACTTCTCCTTGTTCTCGAATGGATAGTGTTGACTGGCGTACGGCATGCTTCCAGACTCGAACCAGCAATCAAAAACTTCTTCGATTCGCTTCAGTTGACCCTTGCCCATCTTACTTGGGATAGTGATGTGGTCGATTTTGTCGCGATGGAGGTCGGTCAACTCCCCTGTGTAGCCACTAAGTTCCTTGAGTTCTGCGACACTGCCAATGCAGACTTTCTCCTCCAGATCATCGCTAACCCATAGAGGAATCGGCGTTCCCCAATATCGGTTTCGAGAAACGTTCCAGTCGCGAGCATTGGCAATCCAACTAGCAAAACGCTTCTCCTTCACAAATGACGGTACCCAATGAGATCCTTCGATATTCTTCAGCATCTGTGGTACTATTTCGGGGATTCTGATGAACCAGGACGGGACGGCTCTGTATATGAGGGGTGTATCTGATCGTGGGCACATGGGGTAACTATGCCTAATCTGAGACTCCACAACGAGTCTTCCCGTGCCCTTTAGATACTTGATGATGGCTTTGTCGGCGGCTTTGACATGCTGACCGGCGAAATCGCGCACTTTTGACGTGAAATGTCCACTTTCGTCGACCGGATTCGGTGGTGGGCGTTTTTCGCTAATGATTCCGTGTTCCATTGCAACATTGTAATCCTCTTCACCAAAGGCAGGTGCTTGATGAACGATGCCAACACCACTATCATCCGTGACATAGGTAGCGTTGAGGACCTTGAAACCGTAATCTTTAAATTCTTCGTAGAAGTAGTCGAAAAGCGGTTCGTACTTCCAACCAAGCATCTCGCTTCCCTTGATTTTCTGGACAATCTTGAACTTGGCTTTCCTGGGCTCTTTATACAGCGTTCCAAGTAGCTTCTCCAAGAGGATGAAATTCTTCCCAGAGGTCTCATCATGAATCTTGATGTATTCGAAGTTTGGATGTGCAGCCAAGCCAGTGTGAGAAGGCAAAGTCCAAGGCGTGGTTGTCCAAGCCAGAAGCGATGTTGTGGGGTCTTCAAGGAGAGGGAACGACACTACCACTGCCGGGTCTGTGATGTCTTGATAATTCTGGTTTGCTTCGAAGTTGCTGAGTGGCGTAGTAAGGGAAGTAGAATAGGGCATGACTCGATATCCCTGATAGACAGCCCCTTTGTTGAAGATCTGTTTGAAAACCCACCACTCGGATTCCATGAAAGTGGGGTCCATGGTCTGAAAGTCTGTTAGCTATGTACTGAACTCTCCGAAGTGGATTTCACCTTGTAGTCATTGTCAAAGTCAATCCACCGCCCTAGCCGCTCAATCGTAACTCGCCATTCAGTCGAGTAGCGCATGACAATGGCTCTGCATTCCTCATTGTATTTGGCCAGCCCAAGCTTCATGACCGCATCTTTTCCAGAGATACCTAGCTTTTTGTCGATTTCGTGCTCAATAGGAATTCCATGTGTATCCCACCCAAATCGTCTCTCGACGTGGTAGCCCTTCATAGACCAATATCTCGGAATTATATCTTTGATCGTAGATGCCAGGAGATGGCCATAATGCGGGAGTCCACTGGTTCAACAATCTCCATGTTAACAACGGTTTTTGCAAAGAGCTCAAAGGGTTATCTAACGTTGCAAATGGGGGTCCATCGTAGAATGTATAAAGAGGGCGAGATTTGGAGAGTTCAACCTGAGTTTCGAAAGCTTTGATCTTTTTCCACCGCTGAAGAATTTCCTCCTCCTCCTTTGGAAAGTCGATGCTCATGCTGGCGGCGGCAGGATCCCGGCTTCTTGGGGCGTATTTGGGGCTATCGGATGCTCGCAGACAAAGTAATTGGTAGCTCTCCCAGCTAGGTATAGATCTTTGTAAAGTTCTTTGAAAGACAAAATCCAGTCAATCGAGCAATCGAGGTTGAGGCGATCCCGCGGTGACTCTTAAATTTTGTCAGTGTGTCACAGGCGATGGGCCAATCATCGAGCGTCTCAGCCTTGCATAAGCGGGAGGCTGGGTAGCTTCAACCTTGCAAGGCGCTGTTCACCTAAAATGGAGCAAGATAGAACAAATGTATTTATTCTTGACGCCTCGCTGTGCTATATTGACAAGTGTTTTACAGATTGCTGATCCCTCGATCTCTCAGTCTACGTCGTCCTCTTCTTCATCTTCATCCTCTTCTTCGTCATCAGAAATAACCGCCCCCAGCGCCTTTAATTTTTCCTTGTATTTGGTCACCTTGCCCTCTAAATCGGAAAATACCATGAGGAGGTCATCGAGCTCGCCCTGCACAGCTTGTTTTTCCTTTTCCATCTCCGCTAGAGACATTTCAGCCTTTCTGGCCTTGGCAGTTGCGGCCTCGCGTCTATTTTCGAAGTCTTTGGCTTTCTCTTCTGCCCTCTGCAAACGAGCTGCTTGTTCAGCTTTATCCGCTGTGTATTCGTCATGTGCCGTTTGGAGATCTTGCACGTGGTTTTTGTTCGCCTACGCAACGTAAGGAATGGTATACAAAGAACCTTGGGGCTTCTTTACCTTTGCAAGATCAGCTTCTGATTTGTTGAGGTGGCTCTGAAGATCTGCAATCTCAGCCTCCAACCGTTTGCGTGTTCGGTCGGCATTGGCTTCCGCGGTCTTCCGAACATGCTCAAGCTGCCTCTGATGATCTTGAGCCATCCGACTCTGTTCAGCACGCAATTTACTACTTCTTGTCAGCGCCATGGCACTTGATGAAACGGGTCGCACGTACGTCATGTCGTCCTCGTGATGACGGTGCAGCGCTTCGTTCACTTGCTTAATCTTTCCAAGCTCCATAGCAGAAGTCTCTTTAGCCCTTCGGTGGTCAGCCTGCTCCTGCCCCAGCTGCCGGCTCCGGGAAAGGAGTTCCTCCTCGGATTTTTGGAGTGCCTTCTCTTTCTCCTCAAGCTGGGATCGCAACGAGTCCACCATTTCGCGAGAAATGCCTTTCTGTACGCCGTTTGCAATGACTGGTATCTCCATTCCAGGATCGCGATCAATTGCACGAAGCAAACGACTGAAGTTATCCTTGACAAAATCAACAAAAGTTTTGTCAAAAAAGACGTCAGGGAGACCGCCAGGAGGTGCAACACTAAGTTTTTGAGGCAGAACCTCAAAATCTCGCACCAAGGGGTGGCTTCGGAACTTCGTCAAGCGGTCGATGTATTGGTCTCGGCCCATTTGCGAGGCAAGAATTGGATGGATCGTTGCTCGAGGAACCGGTGAGTCTTTAGTTGAGAACTCGTAGACAATCCCTAAGAGCATAGCGCAGAGGCCTTGGACGGTCACTCCATCGCCAGCTGGACGTAACACCGTTTGTACCAAACTTTGGATGTTGCTGCCCTCGCCCAAAAAGTCGTTGACTCCATCGGGATCTTCAAAAAGCCATCCGCAGAGCAGCATGAGATATGCCACGAGTATCCGTTCATCAACGTTTTTCTGAATCCCATTCAGAAGGTTCTCGGTCAAGGTTTGAATACACGTCACTACATCTTCGCCTTGTGACGAATCTCCCTCAGTGACACTCATAGCTAGACTCTTCCCATTTGCGTCTTCAAATATCAGGTGAAATAGAATTACAGCCGCAAACCAAGATCGATATGGATCAACCGAAACTTGACTGTCCAGTGGCTGTAAAAGAGTTGTTAGCACATTTGCAGTCTCATCTGCGCCAGAAGTATGGCCCTCGATTGCGCGGCGCAAAAAATGCTTTCGAATCACGGGATGATTGTAGAAATAGGCTTTGATACACTCGCAAGCCGCAAGGCGTGAATCGAACGCGGCCAATAATGGAACGCTCAGGGTGAGGTCAAGGAGTCCGTCGATCACATAGACTTGTGGAATTCCATTCTGTTGAACAGCCTGGTTTCCTTCATCAAGAGGCTCGTCAAGCACTGAAGTGACCTTGAGCTGTGCGAATTGCTCTTGAATACTCGGATTGCCTCGAATCAAGTCCGCGCATGTTGTCAAAGCCTATTACAGAATGAGCAACTAGAACATTTCGTCCCAAAGACCTCTTTGTGCATACCTCGGCTTTTATTTGCATCTCCGTCGCGCGGTTGAAGGCTAATTGAAGGACCTGATTCAAGACACCATATTGCCAGAATGACGCTTGATTGGCTTGGGTACCAACTCCACCGGTAACAAGGAACAATCTTAACACAGCCAACAATGCGTAAATATTCCTGTTCCTCTGGAGCTTCGCCCACTCGGCAACTTCAGGTTCACTGCCCTGCTCTCTGAGCGTGTCGTTCAGCATTCGTGCGACCCTGGGCACACAGCCCGCTTCTCTGAAGAATGACTGATTGGACACATTGAATCGTAGGAGATTGGCGAGAAGAATTAGACAGTCTTCCACTATCCTGTCGCCGTGTAAGAGAGACCCCTCGGACTTAATAATATTGAAAATTCTTTCGAAGGCATCTTCAAAAGCAACCCGTTTCTGCAATTCTGTAGAGCTAGGGGTGAGGTATGTAAGCAAACTCAGACCCTCATTTCGTATAGCATCTCTCTTGTCATTCAGCACCGCCACGAGCCTGGAGATTCCTAAAGGTGCCGTAAAAATACATTCTTCTGTTCGTTCGGTTCGAGAAGATAGTATAGCAGAGAGGAGTTGCAACGAGTAGAGGCGAGAATAAAAGTCGTTTGTGTCTAAGAAATCTAACAATAGATTGATGTTTTCCTGACGTTGTGTGAACTCGTCCGCGATCCAAAGTGCCAATTCTTCCGATGCCTCAGGGCTGTTCTCGTCGGGGTTGAAGAGCATCAATAGTGTCTCCAAGGTGACTTTGACTGTGTCGACATCTTCGCCATCTTTACTCAACCCTGCTATCAGTCCTCTCAAGGCACTTGAGGCGACTGCTTTCAAAGTTAGCATGGGTCCAATAAATTCGGTCCACGACCGTGGATGGATCGTAACTTTCCTGAGGCGGGGTATTGTTTAGCAAGACTGCGAATGCCAGCGATAGATGCCCTCCTATCTTCGAGTAACTGAGCAGTCCCCAGTCGCCCAGCAAGCACCTAGTGTTGTGTCAGAGACTATGAGCGTTGAGGTCTCTAGGACCTAGAAGTTCACCTGGATCGTATCTCCCACTGATTGCTGCGCCGGCTTTCCCGAGATAGCAAACATGGTTTCCTACGGCGTGTAAAGCTTTTGCCATTGGTGTCGAGTCATAGTTTGAGGGTGGAAGAAGGTCGACTTGGAATGTACGAATGGTGTTGAAGTTGCTTTCGTGGCCCTGGATAATTTTATTCCACAGTCGAGGACGTCCAAGCCAAAAACAGAATTTGGCAACACAAACTTGGGAGCTAATGGAAAAAACAGAGATCACCACCTCATTTGAATTTCAGAGACATAAATGCTTATAACGCTATATAATCTAGTCACATACGATCATCTTCAAAAGTATTGTGCTCCAAGGATTGGAGTTGGAACCCCGACCACCGAAACTAGTCCCAACAAGGTTAGACTCGTGTGTATTTCCAGCAGGAACGAGCCTCTCTTTTGCCTTCAAAGCTCATTCGCCTTTCTTTCAGTTACCATTAACCCAACATCGATTTACATTCCAGAACAAAGAAACCGCCCATGCGGTATAGTATTGCGATCGTAACCACCCACACATCTTTGTCCGTTGGTCCACCAACAAGGCAGTGTACGACTGTTGTTTCGTTAGAGAACCTGCAGCCTACAGCCTGCCTATTCGACTCAAGACCCAGCGCAGACCATCATGGGTGTCCCAGGTGCGCCATACTTTCATCTGCTCTTGACGAAAGACTACTGACCCTGTCAATCTATAGCCCTGTTTCGCTGGCTTAGCCAGAAATATGTAAGTCTGCTCCATTCTCACAATACCAACTTGCAAAGCTAACGCATTCAGCCCAAAATCATAAGCCCTGTCATCGAAGAGCAGACTCGAGAGATCGATGGCCAAGAAATTCCAATCGACACCAGAGGACCGAATCCCAATGGGGAGGAGTTCGACAACCTGTACCTTGATATGAACGGCATCGTCCATCCCTGCTCCCACCCCGAAGACAGGCCCCCCCCCAAAGACGAAGAGGAGATGATGATGGCGATTTTCAAATACACCGATCGCGTCGTTAACATGGTCCGCCCCAGAAAATTACTGATGATAGCTATCGATGGTGTCGCTCCACGCGCCAAGATGAACCAACAGCGTTCTCGACGGTTCCGTTCTGCACAAGAAGCAAAGGAGAAAGAAGAAGACAAAATTGAGTTGCTGAAGATGTTGAAGTCGCAAGGCGGCCATATCGAAGAACCAGAAGTCAAGAAAGCCTGGGACTCGAATGAAATCACGCCAGGCACACCCTTCATGGACATCCTGGCTGCAAGTCTGAGATACTGGATCGCCTACAAGCTGAATACCGATCCCGCTTGGGCAAAGATGAAAGTCATCATCTCTGACTCAACAGTCCCCGGCGAGGGAGAACACAAAATCATGGAATTCATTAGATCTCAACGATCTTCGCCCGAGCATGATCCAAATACTAGACATGTAATCTATGGCTTAGATGCCGACTTGATCATGTTAGGCTTAGGTACTCACGAACCTCATTTCCGTGTTCTTCGAGAAGATGTGTTCGCCCAAGATTCAAAACCCCGGGTTTGCCGTTTGTGTGGCCAGGCTGGACATGAGGCAAGAGAATGTACCGGCCAAGCAAAGGTAAAGGATGGAGAGTACGATGAAAAGGATAGTGCACCGCCACTCAAGCCTTTCATCTGGCTCCACGTCTCCATTCTTAGAGAATACCTGGCAGCCGAGCTATATGTTCCAAGCCAGCCTTTCAGATTCGATCTAGAAAGGGCCATTGACGATTGGGTTTTCATGTGTTTCTTTGTCGGAAATGACTTTCTTCCACATCTTCCTAGTCTCGAAATTCGAGAGAACGGAATTGACACACTCATTGCCATTTGGCGTGATAATATACCTTTCATGGGAGGCTACCTCACCAAGGATGGGCACGTTGACCTTGAGAGAGCCCAATTCATTCTTGATGGCTTGGCCAAGCAAGAAGATGCGATTTTTCGTCGAAGAAAGCAGACGGAAGATAAACGAGAAGCTAACGCAAAGCGCCGCAAGCTACAAGACAGTAGCCGTGGTGGCCGAGGAGGTCGCGGGGGTGGATACCAGGACTCTCCTTCCAACGGGAGACAGAATAACAGGCCTCCCAAAGACGATGGTCCTGTCGGTCTACCATTATTTGCTCCGGGCAACATTACCAAGGAAGCAAAGACAATGACCCACGATATGGTTGTCAACCGAGGCGCTATTTACAAGGCGAACCTCGCAAACAAGAGTGCTGCGGCAGCTCTGAAGAGTCAAATCAATGGGAAATCATCAGCGGAGGACAACATGGAGGGAGCCAATGACGACAGCTTTACTGAATCACCTGCCTCGGCATTGGGAAAGCGAAAGGCGGAATTCTTAGAGGACGACGACAGCAGCACTCCGGGACGCAACACACCACAGCCTGGTACACCACAGACTCCAAGCGATGAGCCTCCAGTTGATACCGTACGACTATGGGACGAAGGTTATGCCGACAGGTATTACGAGCAAAAGTTTCATGTTGACCCCAAAGATGTCGAATTCCGCCACAAAGTCGCCAGAGCTTATGTTGAGGGACTCGCTTGGGTGTTGCTCTACTACTTTCAAGGCTGCCCATCATGGGATTGGTACTACCCGTATCACTACGCCCCCTTTGCTGCAGACTTCAACAATATTGCGGAAATGAAGATCTCTTTCGAAAAGGGACAGATCTTCAAGCCTTTCGAACAACTGATGGGTGTCCTCCCAGCGGCTTCCAGACAGGCCATTCCAGAAGTTTTCCACGACCTTATGACCAACCCTGACAGCGAGATTATTGATTTCTACCCTGAAGATTTCATCGTCGATCTTAACGGGAAAAAGTTTGCCTGGCAAGGTGTTGCTCTTCTGCCATTCATCGACTCGAAACGTTTGCTCGACGCAATGGCAAAGAAATACCCGTTGTTGGCACCAGACGTCGCAGCTCGTAATGGCGTGGGCAAAGATGTCCTTCTTGTTGCTGAAGCGCACGAGGCACTTTATAGCGAAATTGCCACGAACTTCTATTCAAAGAAACAAGGAGACCCCCATTTCAAATTAAACCCCAGAGTCAGCCAAGGCCTTACAGGAAAAGTTACCAAGAACGAAGCACATCTCCCTCACAGCTCCTTGGCTTTCCCTCTGACCAGTGGATTGATGCCCAGTTTGGATGATGATCGCTCCATCAGGTAAAGTAGCCCCTACTTCGTTCACGGCCTAGTTTCTGCTAACGGGATCACCACAGCGTCCATTATGAGATGCCAAAGTCGAACTTTATTCACAAGTCTATGCTACTGAAGGGCATTTCATTTCCGCCTCCGGCGCTGACAGCGAGTGACATCGAGACGACGAAGGGAAAAGCAGCAAGAAGTGGTCGTCAGCACGGTGGTGTTCCGCTGCAAGGGGATGGTCGTGGCCGTAACTCGTTCAACTATGCATCGTCGAGCCAATATTCATCCCAACAACAACCGCGCGGCTCTCAAAATGGCTACAATCAAAATCCCTTCCCTGTCCCTCCTCCTGGCTGGCAACCCCCTCCTCCAGGCACTGGTGGTTTTGCGCGTGGCCCTCCCCCACCACCCCCTGGCACCTATGGATCTTATGGAAGAGGACATGCACAACCGCCCCCAGGCTACCCACAACCCCAGTCTCATGGCTATAACGCGCCGGGCCGTGGCCCTCCGGTATATGGTGATGATCGTCGACGATCAGGGGACTCATATAGAGGAGAAAATGGAGATTCATACAGAGCACAACGAGACTCGTCCCACGGACAGTATCGTGGCCGGTGAGCCAATGTTCGATATTTGCTAATACAAAACTGGCTAAGACAGGGCGTTGCGAATGGCGGATTTAATATCACATCCTTGCACTGTGCATGTCATTGTAGAATAGTCGGACTGAAAATTTGGAAAAGACAAAAAAAATTAAAATATTGAAAACCCGCCCGCCCCACTGTCCAAGAATCTCACTTCGAGATTCCCTTATACATTAGTGAGCTTCTAAGGTACGTACTTTATGCTGCTGTGTTTCTGCGGCCGCGAAAACCCCGGAGCGACTAAGACAGGGGTCTTGACACCCCACACCTGCCCACGCGAGACAGGTCCCGTCTTGTGTGCCTCGACGTTTGCAGTCCAAATGTTCAAATCCACCACGACGAGGACGCCGAAGAGAATAGCTTTTGCGGTGGCCTACAACTAACCCGGCCACACTCTCAGGTAAACGCAGGCTATGCCCAAGACCTCCCCAAAAGGATTCCAGCATAAGCTCTCGACCTCGGGCACAGTCGAGAACAGATCCATATGAGTAAAAGAACACCCGCATGTCCGGCAGTCTCTGAGAGGGTTGGCAGAACGGCCAGATCCCTTTTCTAGTCATGAATGGAGACTCGAGCCTGGTCGTCACTCTGGTGGATCGGCTTACAACAAGAGCAAGCTTCCCTCGTCCACCCAAGCCTTCAAATGCTAATGCGTTACATATTCAGTTACCCCACCGTACCGGCTCTCCCTTGAATGATTTCAACCGCGATGAAATTGTCGTCCTCACCCGCGCAACTCTCGTTGGCGTTAGCGCTTCCTGCATTGGGATTGTGGTCGAAACACTTGTTCAATTGCTCGAAGATCTAGCCAAGCCCTATAAAGGCGTTCAGTCGCATCCGATTCATGTTCTACACTCTGAGATATATGTCGTAGAACTTCTGGCAGAGTGCTGTTCTACGCATTGGGCGAGCGTGAATGCCTCGAGGCCTGGCAAAGGGCGACACCATGTGCAGAGCTCCGATTCTGAAAGCTCTGGGTCGGAGGACTCGTCGAAGAAAACCGTGGCCCCTGATGAACACTATGGTCAGAAGAGGCGAGCATCGCGAAACAAACTCCTTGCACGGAACACCGCACCAGAACCTTTGACTGATGACGTGGTGAGGAGGTTGATCGACGCCATCAAGTTGTTTTCCAGGCCGGTTTCTGAAAGTTACGTCCTTCCTGCCTCCAATATCCTGGACGATGCATTCAAAGGAATCCCCGGGGGCGATCGATTGGGACTGGAGAGCACAACTTCTGCAAATGGGCATCTCAACGGGGCTGATGTCTCCAAGCTGCTCCTCGATAAATCCGAAGCTATCGAAGCGTATACTCGGGGGATCCTAGAGTACGTCTCTTGTTCAAACTGGGCTCGAGTCCTCGATTACTTGAAGACCTCGCTCCAACAGGCGGCCCACCAACCAGCGGGAAGCCTAGTTCAGTCAAACGTTATGAATGACGACGATAGGAGCGCACTGATCACGCTTCGGCTCATCTCATCTTTCTGGGTCGACAGTCGCAAATTAAGTGTGGTCATTCAGGAGCTATGTGGCAGTTTCCTGCATCTTCGCAAAGCGTTTCAGACCACGGTTGCAATAGTGTTGCCCTTATTGATCACCAGATGGCTTGAACGCAACCCTGAAGAGTTTATAGATCTTCACTCGCTGCATAAAAGATTGGATGGCGGTGCTGAAACATTGTTCGATATGACCAATACTATGTTTGATGGAGGGAGAAGAAAGGCCCTTCTATTCCCCTTCCAAACCTCCTTGCTCTTTTTGTTACCTGACGTCTTCGAGGTTGCAAGCAACATGCGAGACGTCAAGAGCAGCAGCATCTCTAAAAAGGTTTCTTTTCTAGAGATGCTGAGGAAATCTTTGAGGAACAGGAATGAAACAGCTATCTACTGTTTGACTTCTGTTCTACGAGCTGCCAGGCACTTTCCCCTCGACAGCGATGCAGCGCTTCTTAGCTTTGCTCTGGATGTGCAAGAAGAGGTGAGGGAAGCCGTTTTCAGGAGATATACCCCCGGAATGGACACATCGAACATTGACAGTGCTCTCATGACGGCGGCTTTCGTCAGTCTGGCCCATCTCAATTTTGAAGCATGTGTGGAAAGCTTAGCACCCCTTTGTTTGGCTCCCAGCGCACCGCAAGACTTCAAAATCACTGTCATCTCATCGTGCTCTCACTTTGCTAGGCAATCTAATGCTGGGGAGTATCAACCATTATTTGCAAAGGTCGCAGAGTTTGTTCGAGCGCAGCTGAAGGTATGTCTTGAGCCACCTACCGGAATTCTGCTCACTTTGAATAGGCCACTTCTTCAGAGCGGCGGAACTCCTACCCTAATGAACAATTTACACCCCTTAAGCCACTTCAGATGGCCGGCTCCACAGACATGATCTACAGTATTCTCGCGTTCTTAGATGCGTCTCCACTCACCCTCTTCAATGGCGCACCAAATGATAACGATGATTTTATCCTTTTCTATGAGGACATTTTCGCATCGTTCACAACGTATCTGATCACAGACGATGATCAGATCAGATTTCTCACCAATGCGGTTGCTCGCAAAATCATGACCGAATGCTCTGGTCCATTACTGCAAAAAGGCCAGAGTCTAGGCCCTCGACCTTCAAAGTATAACTTCTGGAAATCCACGTAAGTCCAAAATATTTCAGTCAATAGTCCATCATGATTTCAAGCACAAATCTTTGAGCATTTCCCAAAGGACCTTGAAGGAAGACAAGAAAGTGCAAGAAAGTCATACGCCACGGCAACAACTTCGAACCAAGGCGCGATCTTCTTGGTATAATCTTCCTCTGTATTGCATATAACTTGTGTCATCTTCCAGTAAACAGACTTTGCTAATGACTAGATGCATCACATAGTTCGATCGTGCTTATAACAGTCTGCGAAAAATTGATTAATCTGAGCGAAGACGAAAAGCCAACCCTTAGTTTTATCCATGATTACTTAGAATCGCGGTTGGCTCTTTTGAGGACAGTGGCTGTCAGTGATTCCTTATTCTCCGCTCTCCTACACATTAATTCAAATCGCTTTGCAAAGGGAAAATACATTCTAGGATACTGACTTTGGAACGCAGGAATTAACAGAGATCACTGAAGACATGCCCGAGCGCGCAGTTGCATGTACCAAACTCGAGACCGCATTTTTGGTGTCGCTCTGCTCCACGGACATTTCGGTATGCCAAGTGGTCACCAAATGCATATCGCTTTTCTGCGAAGAGGCTCGCCTCGTGAGTGAGTCAACCGAAACGAATAAGGCACTAATCCCCACTCTTCGCAATATGGACATATATCTTGAAATTTCAACAAGAGAGTTCCGGTTTACTGGGCTTGTGGCATTTCAGAAGCGGGTTCGAGGCTTGCTCAGGCAGATGCAACTTCCTACTGCTGGCATTCTGACTGCTTGGGAGACCGTCTTCGACGATTGGCTCAAACTGTCGAAACAAATATTCTCTCGTTCCGCCGATACGCTCGACGAAAGATCGCTTGTCGAATGGCGTAATTACTCTGGCTTTCTCGCTTCACTCGGAGGCTCTTGCATTTCAAATCAAGCTCTTGCTCCTGAAGAGCCTGGCCTGGCTGGTCTTAGATGGATCGACAGACTCTCACCTGGTAGCTACGATGATACCATCCTTGTTAGATACATGAAGCAAAGCATTCAACTATTGGCAAGCAACAACGTCAGGATACGAGAGGCTACTAGAGAGACCCTTTCTACAGAGCTGTCTCCATCGCTATACCTACCGTTATTTGAGGCCCTTGAATCAGAACTCGGAGTTTTGTTCGACAGCCCCAGGACTTGTACCTCATCGTCCATCGAATCCCGTGTCACCTTTGCTGAACAGGCAGCCGCTCTTTTGAAGAGCATTGTGGAGAGACTTGGTGGCCCAGCGGAGACAGGAGCCGCGTTATCTATTGATGTGGGTGCCCTTACGCTGAACTTCGCCAAATTCCTGGATGAGATGGCAGAAAGCGCGAGCATCCTGAGGGTCAAGATCAAAATCTGCCAGTTGTGCGAAACAGTCACCCAGAAGAAAGAGCTACTGAACTTGAGACACGATGTTCGTATTAGAAATCAGTTGCTGGAGGTCATCTTTGGTTGGATCGCTCGCCCAGGATCTCCAAAGGATGCTGTTGTCTCCGCCGGTGCTCGTGTTGACGAGATTCTCAGACTTCAGAAAGATCTGGATAGAGCATGTCTGAAGGCTCTAGCCGATCTGACATACCGGCTGCCTCTTCAACCCGCAGAAGGGCAGACTGACGCTGATACCAGTGACCTCAAGTCCCAGATGTTCCACACATATTTCAACCGATTTCTCTCTTTGCTGAACTATGAAACGGCCGATATTGGGAGGAATGAGGTACGACTGACGGTCACAATTAGTGAGGAGTCCATGACAACTCCCGAACTGGCCATCAGCGCGCTTTCGAATCTTCTGAGCGCCAATATCGATGTAGGTCTCAAGCATTCGTTGGGCATCGGATACCATGAAGATCTCGATATCAGAACGGCCTTTGTTAAAGTTTTGTGCAATATATTAATCCAGGGTACCGAGTTCAACAATCTATCAGATGCGGCTGTCAATGAGAAATACGACGAGCTTCTCGAGGTGAGCCTGGTCTGAGACAGCACCATGAACTTCGCTAACCAAAACCAAGCTTCTAACAACTGATATGGCCTTGACAATTGCACTTTGTGACGCTTGCCCAAGTTCCGAAGTGGATGAGATGACAATATCACTGCTCAATATATTCGATTCTAGAGGGCTCGGCTTCGTATTATTAGAGGCTTTGATTGATCACGAAGTTGAAGAGACGGGTGAGTGGAACCTGATTTAGTAATATTGTGGAGGATGCTAATTGTGACAAGAAAACGAAGCCGAGCTTCTCAGGAGAAACTGCGTGGCAACCAAAATGCTATCAGTTTACGCGAAGTGGAAAGGGGCAGCGTATCTCAAAGCGACTTTGCAAAAAGTCTTAGAGCGTCTCGTACTCACATCCAAAGATCTTGACCTTGAGCTTGACCCTGCACGAACCACATCCGCAGAAGAGCTTCAGAAAAATGCTCTTCAGCTTCGTGTGGTGACAAAAGTCTTCATCGATGATATTTGCAATTCAGCTGCGCAGATCCCTGTTTCCTTTCGGAAAATATGTAGTATCGTGAGTTCCCTGTTGTCATCAAACTTCGTGTTTGAGCACTAATAGGTTTGCAGATCTCTACCGCTGTGATGAAGCGGTTTCCGGAAGCCAAGTTCACGGCAGTGGGGGCCTTTATTTTCCTCCGGTTCTTCTGTCCTGCTATCGTAGCACCGGATGCTGAAGGACTCATTACATCTGCCCCTTCCAAGGAAATGCGTCGTGGCCTACTTCTCATCGCCAAGGTGGTTCAAAATCTGGCAAATAATGTGCTCTTTGGCGCAAAGGAACCCTACATGTTCCCTCTGAATGACTTTCTAACCCAGAACATCTATCGTGTCACCACATTCCTGCGAGAAATATCGGTTTGTTTCCCTCTCTTCCCCTTAGTTGTGTTTGCATCTAAATAAAATAGGTTCCACCAAACGTACCTGATCCCGCCATTGAATCCGAGTCTTTTGACTTTGGTTCTTGCGTTGCTCTGCATCGATTCCTTTACGACCACTGGGACCACGTCCGTCAAAAGATTGTCCTTCGAGAGAGAAAGGGTGCCCTTCGCTCCATTGTAGAAGTCACCAACAGTCAAATTCCGATCCTGGAGGCCCTTCGGAAGCTTATTACTAACCTTGGTCCTCCGCCCATGGATGTCTCCTGGAATCGACCTGCTATTTCATCAAACAGCCCTCCTTCTTATTCACGTTTTCAACATTTCATGCTCCGCAACGCCGGTAGAAATACGGAATCTCTCGTCTCAACCCGCGCCGTTTATGATGGTGGTGAAAGCAAGGTACACCTGCTTGGCATTTTTGAGGTTCTTTTCTGACCTGATACAGGACGGCTTGCCGATGATCTGTATCATACTGCGAAATATTGACACGGAATCTGCAGACTATGAACTTCTCCTTTTTGGATATCTGAAGGTAACCTTCGTTGATTTTGGGGATCAATCTCATACGCTAATCCTCGTAGATTGCAAGCCGTATGTGGCACCGTCCATTTGGTATTCTGATCGATGCGACGTGCTACAATGGCCAAAATGAACCTCAGGATGCACTATTCCGAAAACTAGACCTCTTGACTCCGTCAGAGCTGTCAAAGCAGTTGTCGAGAGTCTACGTATACAACATGAACAGCGCTTTCAGGTAAGCAGGGTGTTTGACATCTTTCATTCGCGCGAATATTAATTTAATGTTCAGGAAATGCTTCCGTCGGATTTTACGCCTTTCTGCTAAGAGCGAAAATAGCGCCTTCCATCCCAAGAACGTGGACTATCATTTGATTGGTAGTCTACAAGACCTCCAAGCACATTTTCATCTCAGTCAATTACACCTTCCGAAGGAGACGATCAGCGTTGTCACTGACACGCGATATGTTTTCCAGCCCATTACTAGGCTCTCGAAGACGAAAGGAAAGATTGAAGTGGTCATTAAGGTTGGAAGCCAGTTTGTGCAAGTTACAACGACAAAGAAACAGGAGGTAGTGCCCGGTCTGAGGCTACATGCCACTGTCAACGACATATTCCGCCTTTCAGAGGTTGACGAGGCGCCAACTTCCATTCAAACTGAAGATGACTCAGCCTTTGGGCTTCGAACAGAGAATGGAAAGATTGTAATGTACTTTACGAGTCCAAGAAAACCCGACGTCCTACAAGCGATCCGTGGAGCCAAGGCCAAATATGGCAAAGAGCTGAGAACCTTGAAGTCTTTTGAACGACTTGTTCGGCCCCAAGATGTCCCGGGGACCCTGTTGAACATTGCTTTGACCAATATGGCCAGTGCAGACCGGGTCCTTCGGTTGGCTTCCTACAATCTACTTTGCGCCCTCTGTCGTGCCTTCAAATTCGCAGCAGACTCAAAATTTCTAAGTGCCAAAGGTAGGAATCCCTGAATGGTCGTTTCCTTATACTAATGGCTGCAGAACTGTGTGTACCTTTGAACCCATCACACTTCATCGTCAACGTCAGCAGGCAGCTTGCTCTCTCTGAGCCTCAACTTACAGCTGATTTTCTCAACGAGTTTTTTGTGGGCTGGGAGAGCTTCCCATATGGCCAGCGACCTTTGAGCCTAACGTATATGGCCCCGTGGCTGCCTGGTCTCCGGACAAGTTTAATCCCGACAGACTCGGACGGTGACAAGGCGAGAGAGAAAGTTGCAGCCATATTCCGAAAACTCATCGATGTCGCGATCTCGGACGTGGCCCTCGGTACCACCCTTGAGCAGTGCGTCTGGCCCGCGATCAGTAGAGATGAGATTTACACGGACATCTTCTTGGAGGAAGCTGTCAAAGCTGCTTTGGGCTTTGGTCTCGATGATGAACGAACCGAGGTCCTTGGGTCCATCATTACTTCTCTTGGCACCATTACCATTCGCGGCAAACTGCTCTTCCGACTCCGGAAATCCCTCAATCGGACTTCGTTACGGCCTACGAGGCAATTGCCAGAGAACACAGTTTGGACAGAAATTTGCGTACTGCTTCGTTTGTGCCTTTCAAACTCATTTGACAGCGGCGTCCAATCCCAGCTGTACTTGCCAGAGCTCTTCCATCTTGTCACTATGCTGGCCAACACAGGCTCGACGAACGTGAGACTTATGGTCAATCGTTTGCTCGTAAATACAGTTCACGCGATATGCACTACGTTCCCCTTGGAAGAGAACAAGCTTGCACGGCTTAAAACCCTTCTCCTGTCCATATCAGAACCCCGTAGTGAATCCTTTTTCAACATACCTGGTCGAGATGTGGTACCTGCATCGACTTTGCAAGACTCTGGTGTACCCACGTTGATGGCAACAGAATCTCTTGCCGTTCTTCTCTCTGAAATAAGTACCCTTGGCGCTGCGTCGGTCGATATGTCCAACGCCTGGCGCTCAAGATGGATGAGCTTGGTAGCCAGCACTGCATTCCAAAGTAATCCTGCTATCCAACCCCGTGCATTCACTGTCATGGGCTGCCTGGCACGAGAAGATGTAGATGACGATCTCCTGTATCAGGTTCTCGTTGCTCTTAGAAACAGCATTGGAAGATTTATGGAAGATAACGACAGCGAGATGCTCATAGCGATAGTCACCTCGCTGACCAAAATGATGGACAAACTTCCTTCGGCTTCTCGATATGGGATGCAACTCTTCTGGCTTGCCCTGTCTCTCGTTAGGCTGGTCCCATTGGCGCTGTTTAATTGTACAGCCTTGTTTCTTGACGCGGTCTTGAATAACATTGCTACCTCCGGCGAATTCAAGGGTGGCCGAATGGTTCCAACATTGCTACAGGGCAGGTTGTCCCTTGAAGATGCTGCATTGCAGCTTGACGAGATCTACGGCATTCATTTCAACATCGAGAATTTCCATTTTGCACTTTGTGCTTCGTTGGTAAAAGGCCTCACAGACTCTGTCACAAAGGGAACGGCTATTCGAGTATTGTCAACATTCCTTGAGATAACTAGCTACAACGCTCTGCAAGAGATGAGATTCCCGAAAGACATGAGCTGTCTGCCCTACCTTGGACTTTTAATGTCCCGAGCAATGACGCCTGATGAGGCCAAGGAGAATCTTTGGCTTGCTGGTTGGACGTCTGCTCCGAGTGGTGCAACATCTGAGGATGTTATGGAAATGATAGACTTGCAAGTGGTGAAAGATAAAGAACTCTTGCTCAATGCTGCCATTGGAATTGTGGACTTTCGTTATCTGGAAGACACAGTTCAACTACACGGCCTACTTTGGCTCAACAGGATTGCCATGAAACGTCCCACAGTCGTCCTTCATCTGTAAGTGCTTTCTTATCACGATGTGGAGTACATGCTAAAAATTCCAATAGTTGTGGGCCGGTTGTTCGCATTTTGGACGATATTCTCGTCTCATGCCAGAACACTGCCACACTTGAAGCCGCCCATCAATTGCTCAGAACTCTGACATCAAATCCAAAATTCTCTGGGGGCGTAGATACCGCCGAGATGTTAGAGGATGTGCTCGACGGCATTGGGTTTGGTGGTCTGTGGCGCTCATCCAGTTTCCATACAACAAATGAGCATGAAAGACAGTGTACAGCCTTGACAGACAGACTGATTGAAGTAAGTTGACTAGCCCAATGGCTTCCAATCTCATGCTAACATGAGACACAGCTTATCATTGCATAGTTTAGATGGAGATCTTGGTGAAGCAGATTAAGGTTTTGCATACTTACATTTCTATGTTTGACGAGGCATGATTGATGAAAAACGAGGCGAGAACTTCGATTATTTGAATATTACATGATACCCTGTTTGTAGACTGGTTAATTCCCGATAAAAAGGCAGTCTATTGGTCATTTGAGGTCTCTTATCAATCGAGATCCAACGGAGTGAAGTTGGTAAAATCAAACTCTGCAGGTGAATTGGCGACAGTCAACGGCTCTCTTATTGCTGAACATGCCGGTTGATGCAAGGTAAATTTAGTCTCGAACCCGCAGGTCAATTGTTAATAAGAGCTGCCCGGGGTCCGAAGAGAAAGGTGAAAGATCGGATGGACAGGAGACACATTCCTTCGGCGGGACTTCATGCACCGAAATGAAGTGATATTGAAGTTTGGCACCTCCGTCGATCTTACAAAAAGGTTTATCATACGCAGGTGCCGAAGAGCTTCTGGGTTTCTAGGACGCGGGTCGTTCTCCTCCTCCTTGGATTGCGAAGGATCACTATTTTGATGACCGCAACTCTTCAGGGCAACCCAACCCCTATCTTCTTCGGCTAAATAAGCGAGGTACACTACAGCTCCGTCACGTGAAGTACTCTACCCCGCCTTGGACCTTTCCACATGATCGATGAGTCAATCAGTCGCTGACTGACCTCAAACACTCCCACGTCCTTTTCAAACAGGTTCATGTTTGAGATCAAAGAAACAGTTAGTCGTTCACTAAATCGCTAACTACCAGGGATACGTCTCCAGTCTCAACACCAAGCTTGCTTTTCTCAGCCACCTCCTGAACAATGTCACCAACGCTTGACCACATAATAATCCTTCTTCCCTACGCATCATTGGTCAATCCTCCATCCTGGCTCACTGAAAACTTCACAATTACTCCTGGTGGAAAACATGGTGATGGGAAGACTGAGAACAAGCTTATTTGTTTTCGAGACGGCACCTACATCGAATTGATCGCTTTCATCAATGATGACCCCAAGAAAAGGCTAGGACATTGGTGGGACAAAGAATTCGGAATCGTCGACTTTTCATTCGCACACTCTGACGGCGATGCAACCGTTCACTTTTCGGAGCTCGAGGAACGGCTGAAGAGCCTGGATTGGGGAGATGGGAGTATTGAAGTGGCATATGAGGAACCCCAGACAGGGGCGAGGATGCGACCCGATGAACAGGAGATCAAGTGGCAAGTGACATTTCCGGTGGTCACTACTGGCTACCAAAGAGGCGAGCTCCCATTCTTTACCCACGACATCACACCCCGCTCTCTGCGGGTGCCTTTTTCGGAGGAGAGTGTCACGCATCCAAGTTCCGCCCTTGGGGTCAAGAGCTTGAGCAACTTTATCCAGGCCTCCAAAAGCTCTGCTCTTGCGAAAGGGTATTCTGCTATCCTGGATATGCCCAACTTAGCAACGGAAGAAGATTCACAGAAGCTTGGTATCTTCGAGGTGCAAGGAGCGAAGGAGATTGAAGGTGGGCACAAGGCCAAGATTTATTTGAAGGCGCCAAACGAGCCCCAGCTTGAGCAAATGGAGAGAAGAGGCGGCTCAATGTTAGGTGACCTGATTCTTGGTGTTTCCGCAGTCTCAGGTGCTTCTAAGTATCCAAAAAGAATAGATGTCTCGGGCGGAGGAATCGGAGGAGTGCTTTTGGACTTGTGCTGATTTCTTCCCATAACGTCAGGCACTTCTGGGTGGAAGACGTCGACGGGGAAGAGGGTGGGAAGAAAGTTTAAGCATCGGTTCGATTATAATTATTCGGCATGGAAGCTCGACAGCCCTAGCCTAATGTTCAATGAAGTAGTGTGCAAAATACAAGCCCCTCGATTTAACCTAGTTAAAGCCAAGCCGCCGCTTGCCAATAGATGTACCGAACATTACCATCCCTATTGGTCAAGATTGATCCCAATGTCGTCACATCCATTTTAAACACTGACCCTCCATCGTAAGGCAGGAAATCCGGGGTACCGCGCCCATTCGGTATTTCCGACTTTGCAAAATTGACGATGGCCTTGCAAGACTCCGACGAGGAAGCACTAGAAAAACCACTCCAAAGCCGTGTTGTCGACTCATGACCATTAAATAAAGTATATACAACATCGCCACCATAGAGAGTTAGAGGTACAGCGAATAAACACTTCCAAAAATCGAAATCCATATCGTTGTCTCCCTTTGGAGCTTGGTTTCCCCCCTTTTAACCACACTTGTTAGAGATTAAAAGTTGCCGGTCGCCATCTTCCGAAGTGTCTGCAGCTAGTGGGGAGATCCTTGAAGCAGCAGAAGCGGAGGTTGATGTTGAGGATTTGGGACGAGGTTGAAATGCCTGTGGGGGATGTAGGGTTCACTACGTTGTAGGCTGTCAGAGCTGAAGCTTTGAACGTAATCAGTGGTGTGGACAGAGCATCCAAGGGCTCGAATTAGAGGGGCCTGGAGACAGATAAAAATTCAATGGCTATCGTTGAAGATGCGATTAACAGTTTATATAGGAATTGGATTCGCAAAGCGAAAGGGATCCCTTTGGAAGGGCTTCTAAGCCGAAATTCGAAAATGCCAACAACGTAGGACACGTTCCAGAGATCTAAGATGGCTAGCAACGGTTTCGTATTCCGAGAAGAACGATCATCTTCACATTAATAGTGGCCTGCTGAACGACGTATCCGAGATCAACAATCGTAGGGAAATCTAACGTCCATGCTGCAATGCTGAGTAAAATATAAGCGCAACAAGTGAGAGGAGATGGGAGGCAAACATGTAAAATGCCTGTCTTAAACTGGGAAACGGCATTGCATATGGAGCAGCAGGAAGCAGGTTGAACAAAAGGTGCTTCAGCCGGCCTGCTTATACTCGTTTGACTCGGGTCGAGAGGCGAGCGCAACGAGCCGCTGGCAAGCCACGCATCTCAATGACATCTACCTCGGCCACCAGACGAAGGACGGTATGTCAAAATTACCAAAGTATCCCGTCGTCGAAATGAGTTGACTTGCATCGCCTTGTGCGGTGGATCAAGAAGTATATCGGGGTGCTTTTTCTCTCCTGCCCTGCGGGTCTTTCACAGCTTCCAGATGTGACCAGAAAACGGTAAGGAGGCGAGGCGAGGCGAGGGGTGGCCTGGGCAAGGCCAAACACGACTCCAGGACGATACGTGAATGAAGAAGACCCTGTTTCACGCAACCTGGAACTAAGGCTCTTGAGACTCTGCGCCGATTTGGTCGTTCATTCGGGACGGGGGCTGGAAGAGGCTTGGGCTTGCCTGGCCGGCGTCCCAGACTTCTGAGCCAAGGTAGAAAGATCTTCGGGGAGAACCCAGCTCCCGGGGTATTTGTTGTAATATCAGACTCATTGCCGGAATGAGAGCAATGAAGCTCCCACTTGAAGGCGGTTGTCCCTTCAGGATGGAAGTCTCGGCACCGCCCGGAGGTAAAGAGCCGGTCACGTGAACTCGCGCTTTGCACGTCCACAACCCCAAGATTTCCTCCTCCCTCCTTCGCACTCCACATCAACGAACCATGTCTGAACCCGCCACACAAGCAGCCCCGACTCAGGAATTGCCCTATCGCGATGCAATTCAACTAACTGACGAGATGCGACAACATTGTCACATATACCTCGATGAGCAACTCTGTAGGGAGCCTCTCTCAATCTACCAACGTTATACTGACGGTAATTAGATATCGGTGCTCTCACCCTTCTATCTGGCCTTGTCACTTCGGGCGCGTCTCATCCCCAATTACTAGCAAAGCCGACTTTTGCGCCTGAGCCCTTTCACATCGAACTCATCAGCGCACTTCTGATCCACCCCCGCCATACGAACCAAGCTCATCCAAATGAACGTCTTGAGCTTGCCTCGCGGTCTATAACCTTTCTCCGGAACATATTATCAATACTAGGCCCGTTGAACGCGAGGCTCGGAGACGCGTTCTCGTTTTCTCCCATCAACACCACCAGATCCTCAAGGCGAAATCGGAATACCTTGGAGAACGACAGCGATTCTAGTAGCTCAGATGCCGAAGACAGGTCAGAACGAACGCGAGGGGTCATCGCAAATAAGGGCAGATTACGAAGATGCGCCAAAGATTTCTGGCATGTGGTGGGATGGGCGCTCAACTGCAGTGTAAAGTACCCCAAGAGGTGGAAATACTGGAAAGTATGGCTTGACTTTATGCTGGATGTCTTGGATGCAGACTGGAAGGAACGAGAGAGGCAAGATGAGCTTGCCCGAGCCAATGAAAATATTGGGCAGGAAGAGAAGCCCTTGTTAAGGAAATGTTTGTTGGTTGAATACCTGTCAGAAGCCAAAGGTCGATCAAGTTCAATGAAGCGTGTCGTTCGGTCTGCTTTTGCCGATGGAAGCCCCGGCAGCTTGAAAGAATTTCCAGAAGTCTTCCCGAACGAGACCAAGGAGCTAAAGGTCCAGAGTGGACAGAAGCGGAAAAGGGAAGATCCTAGGAAGCAACACTTTGCCGCGTACGATGATGACGATGCAGAGACCGCAATGGATTCCTCCGAATTAACGGACCAAACTCCAGAGCCATTCCAAGACGCTGAGAATACCCTGGCCGCTGATCCATGGCTTGGAGGAACAGAGTCGATCGCGCTGCGCCAACGCCTTCTTGCAACTGTAAGTTTGATGTGCATCATTTGAAGACTTACTGAACTCTCCAGTTTTCGCGCATCGCGGCCATTCTCCCCGATTGCCTCACTGACTGTGTTGAAATTTACGATATGATCTACGAATGTGTCAAACTTCTTCCCGTTCCCGCCTTCTCCCTTTACTTTTCGCCATCCAGCTCGTCTCAGTTACCAATCATTGTTTTTGTATCACTGACGCAGTTTCTTCTCCTACGCTTCCTTCCTGGCAGCGCACCGCGGCCTGATTCCATTGTAGATAGGGAAAACGATGACCTGTCGCAAGAAGTACTAGAGAAATGCTTCCTCCCGTTCCCGGCAAACACTTCTTCGGTTGCTGATAACGCGAAAGTTTCCATACTTGTGGAAAGCCAATTTCGACAATTTTTGAAATCTTGCAGATGTTATCACACTCCTACACTGGATGCGGCGATTGAAAAGGGAATATTGGCACGAGAGAGTAAATGTAAAGGGGACAAGAGGAGAAAAGACGGCGGGGTGAGGGCCAAAGATGAAGAGAGTGACCGGGAGTGGCTAAGAGCAAGTGGGGAGAGATTAAGGAATCTGCTTCTCTGGGTGGAACAAAACAATGGGGGTGATTGATTAGGTTGGTTCATCCAGGGATTATGCTGCTTTAGAATCAGCCAATATTTTGGAGTACTCATTCGGCGTCTAGGAGTTGATGTATGATACCCTGGGATTCACCTTATGCGAAGCAGATATGGACCACATTCTGATGAACCTTTTCTGATTGATTGATTGGCTGCTTGCTTCGCGAGTCCTCAACTCTGTGGCCACCAGTTCTTCAATCTCCACTGAGTCCCACCCAGACCGTTCACAAGCTATACAGCCAGCCTTCTGCCATCCACAGAGCTCTGCCACCATCGCTTCTATTCCATTTTCCGAACCCGCGCCTTAATGTAACCGAGGCCATCCAGCTAACGCTTCAGGAGTATCAACAACGGAGCTGCAACGAATACGACTAAGATTGCGGCAACGAGGATCGCAAATGCGATATTATCGAGTTCAAGATGATTACTAGTTTCGCCCGCTTGGGTCTTGAGAGATCGTTAGTTTTCAGTAGGAGAGACTTTTCATACAACTATTGTCAGGCCAGGAGATACCCAAGCTTGTTCGTCATCCATCACTGGCCCATCGACCGGGGCCTCAGTATTGACTAAGTTGGATTCTACCTTATCGTTACTACCCCTTTTTCGTCGGCGCTGCTCATTGTCAATTGGTGCATCGAGAAGGGCATCAATATGAACATGTACTCCAGAACGCGTTGCTTTTGCCATGACTTAGTCTACGGGACATGTTCCAATCGGACGTTTCGTGATCTAAAGTGCGAATGGTTGGTAGATCTCTGGCGGAAAGGGACTATAATTCGAGAAGGATATAGTGTAGCCACGAAGATATTTACTCTGGAGGGCTCGGTGCGGGGGCTGTGGGCGTCTAGAAGTACAAAGCAGCGGGTCGCGTGGCCATCGAGTGTCGAGGGGAGTTCAAAGCTTTATAAGAGTACATTTCGACGTATCGCAGCGGTTCATTGACCGCCCGGAGCCTTTCCCAACTGTCCAGAGTGATATGGTAAGATTGTTTATGAAAAACTGGCGGAGGAGTGGCTTTTACCTCGATCGTTATAATACTACGTCTTCAAATAATGTCACCCTGAATCCTTTCTGAGATTCTCAGGGGTTTACTCTTGATTTAAGCGTGTAGGAGGACAAGGCCACATCCCTCTGGACCTCAACATTGTTGTATCGACTCTATCTTCTATTCCACCATCCCATCGACTCTTTTACTTCGCCTCCTCCCCTCCTCTCTCTGCTCCCTTCGCGGACGACTAATCATACGTCCACGGCGAATTATTTGGAAGCCCTCGTTTTGACTGCGTTTTAATCGAGCCAGGAAGAGACTATCGACGTTATAGCAGCTGTCGTAGGGTAAGGAGAAGCCTTCTAGAGAAACCCTCTAACTTATATCCCTCCTCGATCCTCAGCTACAGAAGTATATACTACCACGTAAACCCTGTCTGCTCGTAAAGAATTACACGAATACGGTAGCGCTCTCAACAATGCATAACCATTTCCTATTCTCTAAGGCTTGGGATTAGAGGCGCCGAGGATATTGAATAGAAGCGGAAATTCTCCAATAGAGTAGGCTTTTTCGCAGTAGCGAGAGCGGTGAGTGCGTACCGAGACGAGCTTCCACAGCAGGGAGAGCGTTCGTTTCAACGAATCCCGACAGGTGACGAGACAGAGAGAAGTGAGTGGCGGCGGGCATAGATTTCAGAGCACGCGTAGGGCGTTCAAATGAGCAAGATCTTGACAGACGACGAGAAGAACCATCGCCAGACGAGGTACTAGAGATCAAGACTCAGCCCAACAACACGATATGATGTTACTAGGACCTTCAAATTGTCCACGTCGAAGTTAAATATGGCGGCGTATTCATCTCCGCCCAGCTGTGTCGTATCAGAATGTCGAGGGCCAGCATCAACTCCACATTACTTGAGATATGATTCCAGAAACAGCTATTCGTAGGGGTACTTGATCTGGGCAACGAGCTCGGTGTCGAGAATGTATACAACGTCAGCAACAGTACGCGCAAGCGCCTGCATTTTTGGTGATTGCGCGGGTATTGCTTCGAGCAGCTGAATACTGAGCGTATTTCTAGTATCAAGCCCGAGTCTAACAGTCCAGAACTCACGATGTACATCGAGGATAAAGTCCCGTGAGCTTTTCCAGTGCTCCGGATATCCTCTCCGCAGTCCACTCTAAATCTGCAATTGGCAGCCACGTCATCGATTGGACGAGATTCCGAGCCTTCAGTCCATCTATAATAATCTCCCCAGTCACTTCGTTGGGTATGTACAACACCTCCTTATTCTCGGCCATGATCTCATTCATACGCTTGCTGGTTACCGAATCCAATTTTTTATAGCCAATCGAGGACTACTAAAGGGGGAAATCATCCCCAACGATTCTGCCGTCAACATTCCATACGTGCCCTTAGGACGAACAACTTCGTAGACCCTTCCTAACATCTTTGCACGCCTCACTTGATTCTCTTCGGTAGACAAGTATCGGTCCATTGCGTGGGGGTCGCACGCCCATCGCCTCGTGGGTCTGACTGGGTTTATACCTCTCTTACACCCTAATTTCTCCCATAATGAGTTTGGGCGGAAGAGATGAGGAGCCCGGTGACGTCGGTGTCACGGTTTTCAGCTGGCGTGGCTGTCCGCAGTGCCACGAAGTCTACCTTTGATGTTAAAATTTGCCATCTGTGTATTCGGGGGCATGGGCCTCACTTGCAACGACAAGACCGAAAAGGCCTTCAATATTTGGAGAGTTATCGAGCCGTGCGTCAGGATTTTGCTTTTGCCATTTCTCGTTGGCCGGTTCCCCATGGTGGAGCCTGAAGTATTTGTATGTAGTAAGGTAGATATCTTAGTGACTCTTAGTTGCGATGTCTCCCCCGGTTGGAGTCTTCTTGCTGATTTGCGTCGCATATGTGTGGACTGTGAAATTGCTGTCCAGGAACATAGCTGCCTTACCTTGCCATGACTTCAAGATTATCAGAGGTACGATAATAAAGAATGGCTTCGTAGATCCCCAGCTCCACGGCCTCGCTCGTTGACAATATGGGCACTGGGCCCGAGGGTTTCTATGGTCCTTCCGAGGCTCAAATCGTCAGCGAGAATGCAACCACCCTTGTTTATGGTATTGGCCATCCAGGCAATGCCTGCAGGTTGGTGGTGGTAGAGGCTTTTGGCAGGATTCATTCGTTTATCCATGGGGCCTCAGCATCTTCTATATGGAGAATCCTAGCAGCCTCTTGTAGTCTCGGTGTCCCTGACGAGTGCTTGGCCACAAAATCCGCCCTGGTTTTTTTGGGGGGTCGCTCGGCTTCCTTTTCGGATGGCGACGTCAACGCCTTTGTTATCAACTCTCTTAAGCTATCGCCAGAGCTTACATTTGTAGACAATGCAGCCTCGACTACTCCGCGGCGCTCCTCGTCCCCACGTTCATTGACCACTTTATCAGACGTTTGTGGTTTATCTGTGACGATACCCTTTAAAAGATCCCAGAAATCCCTCTTGCTAAACGGCATCGAGTTCAACTGTTGTTCCTTTATGAAACTTCACTCTCTTGCTTGTTATCTGGGAGGTGAGTTTGCGCCATCCTTGCGGCGGAGCCGATGAACGTGCTATCGAGCCCACGACGCACTTCGAAGATCGGGTTCTGTTTCTTGTAGAGGTCACCTAGGCGAAACTGGATGCAAGCGCTGGGATTGCTTCGTCCAGAGCCAACTGGGGTTGGGAGAGGCACCTTTGGGAAATCGCCTCGAGATGACTTGATAAACCTCTCAGGTGTGGAGCTGTCCGAGGAAAGGATTCTCAATTTTCTGTCGGTTGGTTGGAACAAGTTGCTGCTGTCAAACAGGTGTGGTGTGCAAAGCCCATTACTAAAGGAAAGTCGGGTTAAATCTCGAACCTTCCTCGGTCGTAAGTCACTGGTAAACAGTTAGAACAATAAGTGGGAAGCAAAAACCACTTTGATTCACCATAAAACACAAACCAGTCGAATCCCTCAACATCGCCGCTCCTTCAGCCACATCAAGCCTCATCTGTTGTTATACAAGAGGGCCTGAGCTACACGCCGCTCATCTGACCATATTTCCTAACTCGCCCTTCGCACCACGGTAGACATAAATTGAGACTAGTTCCCAAAAAATGTCACGCACAGTGTTGCTTCTTCCGCTTCACACAGAAGACAGCAGTGGGGAGTTGAGGAGACGGTTTATGGAAGATTACATAGTGAGGGCTTTGGTAGGTTGTCTCCAAACGGCCGAATATTCTGCTAACCACCCAAAGCCCGAGGATGGTCAGGCCAAAGTCGATGCGATTTTGGAGGCGGATGAAAGTTGATACTAGAGATCTGTGAGAAAAACTATCAACTTTTTGTAGATTGAGAAAGGCATAATGCATATGCTCAGGGTTACCTTGCTTGGTCTGGCTATGTGCCTCCTGACCCTCTTCAGGATCGCGATGATCTTCATGGCCATGGCAACCATTCTAGCTGGAGCGTCGATGATTCTGCTCACTGTTCTCAAGAAAGCAAATCGCATGATTAACGCCGCTCTCAGGGAGATATTCACGCTTGGTGGACCTGGCAGGGCATAAAGAGAGCTACAGACGAGATGGCAGAGAAGGCTTTACGCATCTGTAGGACGAGAGGATGAGGATATTGCGAAATATACTCGACACAGGAGCGCCCTCGGGCGGCCGAGATCTCCAGAAACCGAAAACATGGAATTGGAAACCGAGAAAATGCCAAGTTGTGGGTGATGGTTGGGAACACTATCACCGACGAACTGCTATATTTCCATCCCAAGCAGTTGGTTGCCACTTTTCGCCCCGACGTGTTTGTTTCCACGGATCCTCTTTTTCTTTTTTGCTCTCTACCTCTGAATTGTTTTCCTGCCCAGGCCTCACGCGGATATGATGTCCTTTGCCATCGACAGCCTGTATTTTGTCCTTTTGCTCCCCCTTCCCTCGTCTCTCTGCAGACATGTCCTCTGGCCCGCCTCCTATAGGGCTTCTCGCACCAACCGTATTCTTCGAATCTGCCACGTTTGCATTGCCACCAGGATCCTCGACTTCCAGTGCAGGCAACGGCTGTCCCCGCGCCTGACCTGGAGCGTCTAGAAAACTAGGCTTGGCAGCCCATCTCGCATCAGCCTCTGCGGCCAGAACCTTCAAATTCCGCTGTCGCATGAGATCTTGTGACTGTTCAATAAGAGAAGGTGGATCATGTCGGGTGTGGCGGAGCCATTGATGCCATTGGGGAGAGATCTTGATATCGCTATAATGGGTGGAGGCAGGGTATTGCACAATCCGACGCATGCGGTTTTTGTGAGAAGAAAGGGTGTCGCGGAACTCCCAGAACGTATTGCCCTGGAGGTCAAGGCCTGGAGACAAAGTAAGCTGGGTGCTCAAGGGCTGTTGTGGTGGGCAGTGGAGTTCTAGAAATTTGCGTACCAACGAGAAATCTTTTGCGCCAGGGCAGTTGTAAGGATTTCCACCTATGCCACGCTTTTCGTATGGGACCAATGGGAATTGTTGACATCATGAGCACGTAGTGTGAGGTTGAACGTCTGAAGAAAGCTCCGCGGGCCGTTGTTGACTTTCTTGCAGGGGTTGAGGGAGCCAACGTTAACCTTAGCTTTGTAGCACGGGCACGTGATTGAAATGCTGGTTCCCTAGAGCGCGCTCTCGTCTTCCAAGCAAGCCAGCCAGCCCATCTCGAATTCCTATTTGAACGTTCCCTCTAAACCAACACAGCCCCAGCCGAATATGCTTGGATTTGAGGAGCTTATGGATCTGAGAACGGTACGTACCGCCATTCAATATCTTGTTGTCTTTCCACGGTTGGGTTGGCCCTGCTCCAGCCTCATGGACTGCACACTAATTATAGAATCGAATCTTTTGAGAGACAAGGCAACTTCCTTGCGATGAAGCAAGGCGAGGACCAGCAACACACAGTACATGAGCCTGCCAAGTTTATGAGAAGCCAATATCACTGGCAAGATGCGACCTCAATTACATCACGGTCATGGCCCCTGCCAGAGATCGCCGAGATCGCTGGGAGCCCTAACAATAGAAACACCCGCGCCGACTTGCAGCTTGCAAGAATCAAAGGACAGGTCACTCTGCTTCGTTACAGGATTCCGCACAGCAAGCATCCGAAGAAGGGAAGATGATTGCGGATCGTGTCCTGATTGACGGCTCTGGGATTACGGATGCGTCTCGACGTTGGTGCTCGAGATGGAGGGGTGGAGGGGGTCCGGCAGCTTATCGAAGGAACGAGACTCAAGAGACAGGCCGGGGAAGAAAAAGGAGCGGATAGCAGCAACATGCCAGCATGCCAGCATGCAAGCAAAGAGCCGTCTGAGTGCATGGGAGGGGGGCCCGGTGCAGTGAGTGTGCACAATGTCGGGCCCAACCGGCAGGCTCGGCCGCGCGGGATTTGAAGGGATGAAAACTCGACGTTTTGCGCTGCATGTGTGCCCACTGCCCACAGCAAATGGTTGGGAACATCCTGCCGTCTTGGGTTGATGCATGCCAACGGCTTCTCCGATTGAATATTGTCGGCCTCTTTTGGAGCGACCTGGACGTCAAACACCGTCGTGCAGCTGCGCCGGCTGCGGAAAAAGTGCGCCCACAAAATCAGAATTCGCATGGAGCCGGAGCGTGTCCGTGGAGAAAATCTTTACAAGCCACACCGTGTGGCCAGCCGCCAGCCGTCCAGCGCAACAAAAGTCTGTCTGTGGCTTGACTGGCGCGCGGAAATCTTCCAGAACTCCAGACCTCCGCTAGAGACTTCCACACTCCCGTCTCGGCATCCGTAGCGGCAGGCTCAGCCACAGCGGCCTTCAGATTTCGCTCCCGTGGCTCGCCCAGAACCCAGAACCAAGATCCCAGATCCCACATCCCAGATCCCAGATCCCATATCTGCATTGGTGAAAGCGCTCCCAAGGCCCTGACCCTGAAATTTGGATCGTGCGGGGAAAACGTGGCCGCCCTGCATGAGTCCGTCAGCTTGCCCAGGGACACAGGCTCCCAAAAACAAAAGACAACATCCTGGGTCGCCCTGTCGTTTGCGGGCCGTGTGGTGGTAGTTGATCCACCCGATCCGGCACTTCAATGTACAGCAAGTACACTGCCATCTGGATCCAGCGCCTGCAGCCTCGCAGATTTGTCGCTATGTATCGTTAACACCTCATGCAGTTCTCTCTTCCTCGGTGCGGAGTTAACGCAAGCCAGACCAGCTGTGAGGTGCAGTGCCGAATGTCCGGTGTCTGCGCCCGCTGGTTGATTCCAGTTTACTATCGTTGTTGTGCTGTGTTATGGATGGTTTTCGGAGTTACGGCCGCGTGGGTGTTACACAGCGAGTCAGCTGCGTTGTGTCCGTTCTTTTTGCTTACGTGGGCCCGGTGTCGCACCCCGTACGAAGTCGGGCCAAAGTCGGACACACGATATCCTACTCAAAAGGGGTGTCGCATTATCCAAACTTCGCAGTCAGATGTCAAGTCCCGCCGAGCCAAGCGTTCGAGTGGCAGGCTGTTCGTGTTTTCGGCAGCTTGATGGCCCCTGCTGATCGCTTCGGAGATATTTTAAGAACGTTATGTTGTAAGTACGAAGTTACGAGATCCGGCAGTAAGTACGTAGTAATGATCAGATCTCTGCTCAGGTCCTTGCGATAGCGTTGGGAATAATCAAGCGATCTCAGCCTCCCAGTTAGATGTCTCTCCCTCTCCCCTTCCTCCAGCCACAATCGTGAAGCGCGCAAAACAAGGTTATCGGGTCCTCGTATCTCCTTATCAGAAACACGACGTGGACGTGGAGATGCAGATCTCTCTTGCAAGCTATGCATACTTCGTATTCAGTCGCAGAGGGCACTCAGCTCTTCTAGGGAGGGCTCGATCGGCCTCATCCGATACCCGTCGCTTGCGTGCAAGCGAACCAGTCAGAGAGGCTCCCTGAGGAGTGCCAGGTTTTCCGTTGTGGCTGTGCCCTCGACAGCTCGCTCTGTTTTCGGCTGACAAACCTCAGCGGCTCTGAACCTCTAGAAGCGGGATATCTGCTTCCATCGCTGCGCGCTATGCTGCATCGGGCAAGGCCAGCCAGGTTGGCTTGATCGGCACGGTGTGGTGGGTCAGGGGGGTCGCATGGGAGTCTGAGGGCCCCCGAGGGAGGGGCTGCCCGTCGTGCGTCATTATTGGACTCACTCCACGCCAGTGACACCACCCCAAAAAATCTGAATGTCCGCGTTTTCTGCACTGCATCGCTGCCAGGGGTGTGACGGTATGGGTTATATCGCTGCTCGCCCCAACATGAAGAGCCCGAGGAATACCGACGACTCTGCAACACAAATACTCTGAACTCTACCAGCCAGCCTATACACTCGAGGAGCTGACAATACCCCATTGCCCCTTACGAGCACATGACCAACCGATTACGAGACACGCAAGCCACCTTCTAGGCCTTTCCACTTGCCTTGGCACCCAGTCATAGCCCTTACCCTTATAAGTGGCGACTCGATCCCAAAAGTTTCTGCATCCACACCCTTCAACTCGCACTATGTTAGCATCAGCTACCATTCCGCATCGACGTCAACAGCATTCCTTCCAACATCAAACACTTTCCATCCCGAACAACTGGTCGTCGAACGCAAACATCTCGACCCCGCAACCACAGCACGCAGCAACGGCGAACCCCATCTTCTCGTTCGAGGATCAGCCATTGTTCGACTACCAACACTACAACTTGAACCAGGCACAGTCGTTGATGCCGGCTGACAATCACAATAGTTGGCTCGAGAACGGCCAGCTTACACCACGATCGACGACGAGAGTCCACCACCGCGAGAGTTCTCTGAGTTCGCTGGGCTCAGCGGGGCCGGCATCACCATATACGGCGAACACTTCGAATCCGCAGGTGGTTGGGGATCTCTATCATGACTTCCACGACTTTCAGCCTACCTCGTCGAAGCCTTTGACCCCAGCGCATACGCCGTCCCAAGAAAGCTTTCTCCCGCCACACTACTCGAACTTTTACCACAACTCCAACTTTGCTTTCACAATGGGCCACGATGGTCTCCCAAAGCCGACTGGTGACGCGGAACTGATGCCTGCACCGGAATTCAACCACTCGGGCAGACCGTCAATAGCATCAGCAACAGCCCGTGACTCATATTCGCCTTCCACGCCACCATCGCATGAGGAGGAGAGGCAAAAACGTGGTGAGACTTCATTGTTCGATTCATGGTTGAATGAATACTTACAACACTGCGACCATCAAGCATACAGAAACACAATGCCCAAACTCGATAGAACCATGACGGACATCTACGCGGACGAACTATACAATCCCAGTTTCCAGATAACTTCTGCGCCTCCGACTTCGACTCCTGCACCATCCACTGTCACTCTCTCACCTCAAAACGATGTCTTCTCACAAAGACTCCAGGCTGCGAACAGTCAACATCTGAGTGCATCGAACACACAAGTTCCCCTTACAATCCCTTCCCGAGAACGTTCTCCATTTCGACAAGGTTCTCCTCTTGCACCGTCCAGGAACAATTTTGGGGTCCAGTCTCCCAACTTGAGATTTGGGACGGCAACACATATGCGTGAGCAGCAGAAGGCGGAGAATGATGCAATGGCATTTCAGAGGCAGCTTGAACGAACATCCCCAGAGCAGACAACTCCGAAGACAATCTCCCCAAAGGATGTTGACCTCGTCTACCACGAGAGCGGGGAGGACGCCAATACACCACTATTCCCGCCCCAGCAGCAAAGCCAAGGCCACCCATCGCGTTACCGACAGCAACCCATCATCTCCCACGACCTCTCGGAGGCGGATGAGAATGCATCACAACGCAGCTACGGAAGCATGGCTACTACACGGCGGGAAAGCTCCTCGACCTATTCAACATCCTCGCAAGCTACACAGCAGCAGCAGGGCGCGTTCAACTTCGTGCCTCCTGCTGTGGCGGGCAGTGTTCGACAACTCCCGCAGCAGTATCCTTTTGTTCCTCAGTCGCGCAGACAACCCAGCAATCTCTCCAACCTCAGCGAGGATTTTCCCGCGACGCTGACCTCAATGGAATCGAGTAGCAGCGAGTATGCGCCCGAACACTCGGAGAGCAAAAAGCCCCCAACGACGTCTGCCGATACAGGAACATACACATGCACATACCACGGCTGCACCTTACGATTCGACACTCCAGCGAAGCTGCAACGACACAAACGTGAAGGCCATCGAAACTCGGCGGCGGCGATCGCCAGCGGGGATGGGAGCGGTATGACCTCAGCGGCGCAGCGCAATTCTCAAGCGGGACCACACAAGGTACGTGCAGCAAAGGCTGCTGATTCAACCCCAATTCCAATTCCAATTCCTCTTCCAATTTCAAATCCATCAGTATTCAAGATGAAATCGAGCGCATATGCTGACCTGACACAGTGTGAGAGAATCAACCCGTCAACAGGCAAGCCGTGCAACACCATCTTCTCGCGCCCGTACGATCTGACGCGGCACGAGGATACGATCCACAACGCCAGGAAGCAGAAGGTCCACTGCCCGCTGTGTACGGAGGAGAAGACGTTCAGCAGGAACGATGCGCTCACCCGACATCTCAGAGTCGTTCACCCTGATCATGTTGATCTCTCCAGGAGCCGGCGCCGCGCGCACGAGTGAGCATACTGTCGCTCGTGCAGGTGCTCATTGGGGGGGGGGGGACTCCGCTGGGCTAACACCATGTGTGGCGTGGCGTGGAGAAGTCGAGATGGGCCACGATCGCGGCATCGTGGCCCCACCTGCACTGCTCAGTCCACTCCTCTCTGCAACATACCGTACCCGCGCGTGAGTCAATCGGGCACGCAGGGTCGTTTTTCCTTCGCTGCAGGGTCTTCGGCAGATGACGGTAGCCCCGGGGCATGGGCTGGGCATCGGGGAAGAAAAAATGAGCAGTTTGGCAAGGACAGGCCCGTGAAGCGGCTCCACGTCGCACGTCTCGTCTCGTCTCGAGGACAGCGGCGGAAAGTCGGCAACAATGCTAGCACCTTCTTGATGATTCGCCAATCGCACCACCACCACCACGAGCGGGTTCCAGCGCAATGACGTCACAGCCAGGATGCGCCCAACGTTCAATGTTCAACACTCACTCACTCGCGGTTGCGGTTGCGATTGCGATTGCTGGCCTGCGACATTGATTTTCATGCCACTCCCGTCATGTCATATCACATCATCATTTCATCACTCGTCGTCACTCGCGTTTCGTACCTGCTCCTTACTTGCTTTGCATTTCTTGGCTTTGACTGCATTTTCTTGCTTGGGAGCGCGGCGTGCCTGGGTGGATCTTTCGTCATTCTGCAAGGCCTGACGACAAATAATGAATGCTTTCTTTGGCCATGACCATCACGTGTACTTTCCTGTATAAAATTTTGGTTTGGGAGGAAAATGCCGCTGGTAAGCGGCCTAACAAAAAGCAAGCGGGCTGAATAAATTAGACAGGTCATGCATTGTATCGTTTTTTCTTCATCATCGTTTTTTTTTGTTTTTTGGCCAGCCACGTGGTGTGTAGCGTGTGTATTGTTATGATGTGTGTATATTTGTCTATAGTTATGGATTACGAGTGAACGGGAATGATTAGATGATCTTGCGGGACCAGTACCCCTATTGTACATCAGTAGATAGATTGTATCAAATACATCAATGAATTGCACTTAGATCATTGGCTCAACCTCATAAATTCAAGTCTATCAGGCGCAGGTGATATTCGACACGTGACTGGACACGCGACCTATCCCGTTACCATCTCACCACCACGGCACAGCCATCCTATTGTGGGCGGTTCTGCTTTACAGCACCACCACCCAGGACAGCAGCTCTTGCATCTTCGTACAGGGGTTTGATACCCGTCCATTTCTGGAACTACAGTGAAAGTCGTTAGCATTTCTGAAGTGCGACTGATCCCTCGATTACTTACCTGATACCAACCCTGGGCACTGAGGACCTCCAACCCCGGAATGGTGACCCAGCCGGCATCTTTGGCCATCTGCATCAACGCGGTTTGGCTCGGCTTGTAGGCCATCTCAAGCAACGTCCGCTGCTGGGCAGTGTTCGATTTGGGGTGTCTCAACATCGTTGCCAAAATCTCACGCATGTTTTGCTCGATAGGTTTGTCGGCAGGGATGGTTCCAATGGCAACACGCGGAACCTCCGAGACGTTTTCCGCTGCAGAGAGTTCAGTCAAGGGGATGATGTTGAACTCTGCGGGGAAAGTAGAGATCATGGCTGAGAGTTTTGAGGGCGTGCGGGAAACGATGTAAATAGGAGAATGCGCAAGAGATTGAAGTGCATAAATGGCTGCTCGCGCCGTGCCGCCTGCACCAATGACGAGGGCACTTCCTGGGGCGCCCGAGGAGATGGTAGAGTAGGAAGCAGACACAAGTGAGTGGGTCATTCCGAGCCAGTCTGTATTCTCCCCGATGAGGCGTGGGGGCTTGCCAGGTTCAACGGATGTTGGAACGATGGTGTTCACAGCTCCAATAATCTTTGCAGCATCTGTAATATCATCGAGAAGCGGGATAATATCTAGCTTGAGGGGAATCGTGACCGATGCACCTCCAAAATCTGGAGACCGGATGACCTCTTTCACATCCTCAGCTTGGTCGGTCTCGAGACGCGAGTACTCGTGAGGGAGCCCTGCTTGGCGAAACAGAGTGTTGTGTAGGGCAGGGGACCTCGAGGCAGAGATCGGCGTCCCGAAGAGATAGAAAGACTTTGGTTGTATCTCGCCCAGCAGTGATAATCCCTGACGAATCTCAGCTGCGGAAAGTTGGCCGGGGGCAGCTTTGAAGGGCAGAGCTGGATGCGATACTGGGGTCATAAAGCCATTCAGGACTCTGCTTAGCTTGCCGAGAACGCCCATGTTGATGGCAATCAAAGGGACATCATGAGCTGCAGCCATGTTGGACTTGAACTTTGCGAGATCAAAGTTATCCTCCATGCTCTTAGCAGAACCAACGAGTTTGATGATGTCACCGTATTGGAGGGCTCTGTTGTAGTACTGAATCCAGCCGCCGTTCTTCCACGAGAGACGCCCATGAGGATCATGATGGGAGGCGATGATTTTTGAGAAACCTTTGGCTTCCGTAACGCTTTGCAAAGTCTCGTCGGGCAACATAACCTCCAGATCGATATATTCTAGTCCCATCCTTACTGCAGCATTGTAAAGCTTAAGCGCTTCTTCCTGGGCATTATCGGGGAACCGGCCACCTTGACTAACTGTTCGGATGGTGAAAATCAATGGCAGTGAGACAATCGACCTCAAATGTGCTATTTGAACACTCAGAAAGTCGAGGGTCGGAATTCCATCCTTGGAGTTCGGATCCTCAAGAAGATCAACTCTAACTTCCACTGCATCTGAGCCAACGGCAATAAGCGGAAGCACCTCAGCGGCAGAAGAGATATCTGGCATCGTAAGAGAGACAAAGAATGTGTGTTGCTTTTTTCGAAATTCCTCGAAGTGAGTGCTCTGTCCAGAGATCAAAGAAAGAAATCTTGCGAAGTCGTCGCGAGCCACAGAAAGAGCCCCCGTCTCCCCGCTCTTGCTGTGATATTGGAAGTTGCTGCACTCTTGAAACCACGGCTTTCGCCTTAAGTATACACCCATCATGTCTTCCACATATGCCGGGCGAGTTTTGTCGATTTGGAGGTACTCCATTACTTGCTCCGTGTCTCGATGCACGAGAAGGACAATGCCACCAGTCTTGTGATAGTTGGAAAGAAGTTGGCGGGCCTCTGGCATCTCGACGACGCCGCCCCCACAAGCAAAAACGTATCCCTTCGGCTTTTCAGTAATCACCCGCTTAAGCAGGGAAAGTTCGGTATCTCTGAATCTCTCCCAACCATTCGCTCGAATAAATTCTGGTATAGTCATGCCAACAGTTCGCTCAAGCTCAACATCGAGATCCAAATGAGGCCTGCCCAAAAGCCTTGCTGCCCAGCCTCCAGCCGTTGTCTTCCCCGCGCCGCGCATGCCAATAATGAATAATGAGTTGTCAGAAAGAGCAGAGGAGTTCTGGCTTGTAGCGTGTCCACCCTTTATCTCTCGTCCAGCCAGGTGAACATGAAACGAGAGAGCCAGAATATCCCACCATCCGGGCCAAGTTTTCCCAACACATTCCCGTTCACTGACCAGCACCGGAGACGGGGCAGCAACCGAGAGTACGCTGAAGCTCATTGCTACGCGATGATCATCGTAACAATACACTCCATCCTGAGGGGGGTCCAGCATAGCGGCGGGCTTCCCATCCACTTCGATTCCATCATCAAACTCGCGACATACCACGCCGAACTTTGCGAGCTGGTCCTTCATCGCAACTATTCGGTTGCATTCTTTTACTCGTTGATTGGCTATTCCCTTGATCCGCGTGGTGCCTTTTGCTACAGCAGCCAGCACAGACGCTGTCAAGAAAGCATCTGTCATCGGTTCCATGTCAACTTCGTTTATTGCACTCAGTTGCCCAGGTGAAGGCCCGGTCACAGTGGTGGAAAAGTCATCTTGGACGACTGTACAGCCCATTGGCTTTAGGACTTCCACAGCAAAGCGGGCGTCTCCCTGCAAAGACTTTGAACCTATGTTTGGTATTGTGCAAGTGGTTCCGGAAATTGCTGCGACTGCGAGAGGGTATGTGGCGGAGCTAGCGTCACTCTCTACGATATATTCGGCTGGATTCCGATACACGCCGTGCGGGATGTGATAAGTGTGGTCCTCGGTCTTGGATCGGACCACATGGATTCCAAAAGTGGCCATCATCGCAGTCGTCATGTCAATGTAGGGCTGAGAAATTGGCTTTCCTCCAACAAGGCGCAAAGTGACTGGCTTTTTCGCATACGGTGCGCACATCAGCAGCGATGACACATATTGAGAAGAAACAGTGGCAGCAAGCTCGATTTCGCCGCCTGTAAACCCACCAGAAGCTGATACATCCAGTGGGAGACTGTGTTTTTTCTCGAGGTATTTGATTCCAACGCCGTTGGCCCGAAGAGAGTCCACAAGGGGGCCTATTGGTCTAGCCTTCATGCGAGAGTTTCCAGTGATGATCGTTGATGAAACAGTGGAAGGTTTACACAGTGACAACACCGTCGTCAAGAATCTAGAGGCGGTGCCAGCGTTGCCGATATAGAGTTCTGTTGAACTAGCTCGCAGGTCACCACCTTTTCCCTTCACAACCAAAACTTCGCCAGCATCTTCCCATCCATAGGTGGCACCTCCAAGCTTTGAGATTGCAGTAAGCATAAATTCGGTATCATCCGAGTGAAGCAAATTTTTGATACGACAAGTTCCAGTGCCGAGCGCCGCCAATACAAGAGCACGATTTGAAATGCTTTTCGACCCTGGAGGGGTAACCTCGGTTTTCAAGTCCTTTGGGATCGCTGGAGTAACCTCGATTGCATCCGAAAGGACTATTCCGATAGTTCTATCTTCTACTACGGTGGCTCTCGGTTCGTGTGTCTTTCCAATTGCCGAGAGAAGGACAATTTTCTTCTTGTTGCCGTCATTCTTCTTGTCCACCCCCATTTTCTGGAGAAGGATATCTACTGGGCAGAGCTTCCCAGCTGTAATCTTCTGGATACGTTTGTCTTGCAGTGACGTTGGAAGCCCATAGCTTGAGATGCATTTGATGAGACGTGCTACAGCACCAGGTTTCAAGATCCCAAGATGACGGGCCAGCTCTGCTTCTTTAACCATTCCGATTGCAACTGCCTCGCCGTGTAAGACCTGAGGTGTGAGAATTGCCTCATAAGCATGTCCAATAGAATGGCCGAAGTTGAGAAGATTCCTAAGACCCCCTTCCCGCTCATCTGCTGACACTACGCCGGCTTTTATTCTTGCCGATCCCAGGACAATCCTCTTCAGGATATCTCTGATAGGGTCCAATCTGCTGAAAGGGTCGGACGCTTTATCTCGGATTGTTTCCATTAGCAGGATTGCATTATCCTCCAAAGCGGCAAATTCAACCTCGTCCCAGATCGCTGCTGTCTTTATCACTTCTGCCATGCCATTCACAAATTCACGAACGGGTAAGGTTTCAAGGAATCTCAGATCAATGTAGATCCTCTGAGGTTGCCAGAAGGCGCCGATGAGGTTTTTGCCTAGCGGAGTGTCGATTGCAGTCTTGCCTCCAATGGATGAGTCGACCATGGCGAGAAGTGTAGTGGGCACCTGTACAAAGCGCACACCTCTCATGAATGTTGCAGCGACGTATCCAATCATATCTCCAATGACACCTCCCCCGAGAGCGATGATGACCGTGTCCCTCGTGCATTGTTCTGACAGCATCCAATCTTCAATCTCAGCTTTAGTTTCTCGACCTTTGGAAGTTTCTCCGGGAGGGATCTTGTATGTGAGAAGTCGTGGGGGCGCATTCGATGTCGATACATAATCCTCGAACGCTTGCTTGAATGCCGGTACATAGAGCGGTGAGAGGTTTGTATCGGTAATGAGGATGTAGGTAGAGGAGGGAAGGTTGGAGAGCAGATCCTCGACGACAAAGCTCCGCCAAATGTCGAAGTCAACAACAATGTCTTCCTTTCCCAGGATCGCAATTCGCGTCGGAGCAAGGGGTGACGTCGAGCCCATGTTGCTGTTTGTTCAAATTGGGGCGTCTGCTCTCAAATGCAGAGACACTCGCGATGCAAGGGCTTTAAAGAGGCAGAGAGGTGTGTGTCCATGCGATGTTCGGTTGGGCACCGCAACTGCAATTGCAATTGCAAATGGGTTTCGGGGACCCGGATACAGAAGGTGATCTATTTGATGGTTCGGATGGGCAGCAGCTGAGGCTGGGACAGGACTGCACGGCACAGTAGAGGAAGGCGACGAGGTGAGTGTGAGTGTGTGAGTGTGAGTGTGAGTGTGAGTGTGAGTGTAAATTTTATGACTCTCCTCTCTCCGAAATAATTTTTGCAAGGGACCTACATTAGCGTCGATGGGAATACCAGGGGTTTGATGGCTGGTGGAGATGGCTCGCGCCCCCGGTTAGTTCGTGATACACCGAAATCCGGGCCGAAATCAACGTTTTCTATATTAACTTCCATAACAATGACAATTAAATTTTTGCAATTTTACAGAGGGTAATCATATAGACTGCACATTAATTAATATTGTTTATTAACAGAACCTAAGTGTGCTGGCTGTTAAATAACGTAATCCGGGGTTTGATTTTTAGGCTGGATTCGCTAACAAATTTGGCGCGTGTGTGGGTAGAAGTATCCACTAGCCAACCGCCCAAACCCCCATCCGCCCACGCCTAAAAAATCGATTTTTAATTACACCTTCATTATAATTACAAATCCTTTAATATATTAACGTCCCATAGTATTTTCAATATCCTAATAACTATATATTTAATTTAATCTTGTGGTACGGCTAGAATCGCCTATTAATATCGAATTTTTTTTTTTTTGGTATGCGGCCGGCTTCCTTAATTTTTTTTGGTGCGGGCGCGTACCAAAAATCTAAAAATTCGATATTAATAGGCGATTCTAGCCGTACCACAAGATTAAATTAAATATATAGTTATTAGGATATTGAAAATACTATGGGACGTTAATATATTAAAGGATTTGTAATTATAATGAAGGTGTAATTAAAAATCGATTTTTTAGGCGTGGGCGGATGGGGGTTTGGGCGGTTGGCTAGTGGATACTTCTATCACGACCACGACTATGCGGAGGCGCGTGGATGGGTGGGTGCTTCCCCACATTACCTACACTTTGGCCAACCTCCCCTCCCCTCATCTTCTCTCCATTGCTCTGTCTCCCTCCCTTGGGACGCCATCCTGTCCTCGTCGTATCGTGCCACCTGTAGTATACGCTCTATCCTATTCTTCGCGGTCCGTTGAGCGGAGCACCGCTATCTATCTGCTTCATTATCCCAGCCACGGCTTTGAATTATTAAAAAAAGCGAGATTTTGACTTGTCAAAGCGAAGCTTTTATTTACGTGGGGTGGGCTGGTGTGACAAATTGTTCACGTGACAGTAAAAATTCAATGGCACGTGACCTGTTAAAATATTTTCCCTGTGCTAGAGGCTTAAGGGGGGGGGGGGGGGGGGTTTCTGTTATATAAGAGGAGTGAGTTGAGTGAAGTGTGAAAGATAATTAATTACTATATAAGAGAAGTACTACTTCTAAGATATTACTTATATTATATTATAGTAATATAACTTTTATTATTTATTTATAATATAATAATTACTATTATTAGAAATATTAGTAATATTTTTATTATAATAAAATAAAATATTATAAAATACTATAAAAAAAGTAATTAATTAAATAAAAAGAACTATTATAATAAGTTTTACTATTTTCCTAATTATTTAAGATTAGAGTCTAGCTATTATAAGTATTATATAATTATATTCCTAAAATAACTAAAAACTAGATGTGATATATATAGGGTCGCACGTGACTTAAGGGCATGTAACGAACCTCGGATATCGCGGGTATTAATCAGGGAGTTCGGTAGCCCTTCGATATCCTAACTAACTACTATTTATATTATATATATTAGGCTTATAAATTACTAATTATATATATGCCATTGGGGCCTCCTATTTAGAGGGGGCTTCCCTGGACCTTATAGGAGGGACAGAGATTAGTTCTATACTGAATTTAATACTATGGTTTTATAATATACTAATTTATTCTATTATCTTATTACCTACTAATAAATACCTTATAAGCTAATCTCTCTACCCTTAAAGGAGGTAGTTCAATAAGTAATTATGTCTCGAAATCTGCGAAATATATGATCTCTCGCCAAAGCTATTCCTATAGAGGAAGTCGACCAGATTAACCCTAATATAGGTAATAGCGAAGGCTCGTCTAATACTTTTAATGGGGCCCCTCAGGAGCCTCCGAGAGCCAGTAATAATAACGGAAATAATTCCGGTAATAATTAAGATACCGAGATTAATACCCGAATTACTGCCGCCCAAGCTACGGAACAGGGCTTATATACTAAAGTCGAAGTACTCTAACGAAAGCAAGAATTAGTAGATATAATTAACTAGTATATCCTATAGTTAGAATAATACAAGGGTACCCTTAGGGATACCTTGCGGTTTACTATATCTCATAGAAACTCTATTTATAAGTTTATTCTCTCTTCCTTAGTAATTCCTACTAGGGAACTTCCTGAAATAGGATTAGAACCCACTTTCTTTCCTAATATAATAAGCTTTGAGAGTAATCTCAATACTATTTATTAGGAGCTATTATATAATATCCTAAAGATATATTTAGACTAAGAGAAGCTTCTTAAGGTCCGGATACCTGACTTATATTATAGAAAGTCCCTCAAGAAATAGAGGATATTTATATCCTCCTGGAAGGTAGTCTTTAGGACCTAGCCTTAAACTTATAATAGATACTTTTCTAGAGTTAACTTTACTATAAGTGCCCTTAGGGACAAACCTTATAATACTTGGGAGGCTATAATAAAGCAAAGCCTACTATTATATAAGGTCTATTAGAAGCGATTTAAGGCCTACTTGGCTAATATACTCTAAGTACCTCAAATCCGTTAATAAGACACCTTTAAGGAACTCCGAGATCTTTATTAGAAAGATAGCGAGATAGTTACCGAGTTATATACTCGGATAATTAGTCTCGAAATTAACCAGGACCTATACCCTGAGAGAAACCGGATCTGGACTCTCGATATTGCTTTATCTAACTATAAGACTTATTAGATACTTATATCTATTTTCTTAGGAAATAAGGCAGTATCTATTTCCGAATAGCTTGAGAAAGCTTAGAAAGCAGAATATACTACTTATTCCAAATTAAGAAGAGTAAAGGCAGGGAAGTCTAGTAAGGGCAATTCTATTCCTAAGGACTCTGACTTAGTGAATTCTAATTTGCAAGGCTATTAAAAAAGGAAGAATAAGTTCCGAAAATCATATAAGAAACCCTTAGGTAGTATTTTGGCTCCTTTAAAGCCTTAATAAAGTACTAGTTCTACTTTAGGTATAATTTATTAGACTTATAAATAGAAAGAATACTTCTCAGGAAATGCGAAGTATTCTAAGTATACTAAATAGGCTCGGCAAAACCCTAATAAGGCCAAAACCATAGAAGAATTAAGGTATTTATAGAAGCAGGTTAATATTATTACTATAGAGAAGTACTCTAGAGGAAATTCTCCTAAGGAATAGGGAAAAGAGAAGGCCAAATCTTGAATATTAATGATTTTAGCTATAATAAAAAAGGCATATTACTTTATATAACTATTTAAGCAAGATTAATATAGCCAGAAATAAGTGCCTTAGAAATATATAATAGACTCGGTAATACCGGGTTAGACTATAACTTTCTTAATAATAATTAGGCTTAAAGCCGGGGCTTTACTACCTTAGCTAAGTATAACTAAGAGTTTATAATCTTTTATAGGAATAGATTTAAGATCTATTAAACTTATAATCTTAAGGTATTTATTATAGATAATTATAGCAAGATACGTTCTTTTAAGCTCCGGTTCTATAGGTATAAGAATATTAGCTCTTATAGCCTTATCTTTAGTATAGAATTTTATAAAGTAATCCTTATATAATATATAGACTATATTAAGAAATAATAGGTATATATACCTATATAGCCTAATAATATTAAGATTCTAATATTAAAAGAATTCGGTAAGGAGCTTAACCGGTACCCTGAGCTAGTACCTTAAGTTTTATTCTTGACTAAAGGCAAATATAACTATTCTAGATAATAGGCTTTATATATTTATAATAGTTACTAGGTCTCTGCTTTATTATATAGTTCTAGTAATACTAAATAGGAGTTTTTAATATAGTAAATTAATACCCTCTGGAAAGAGGCTTTAGAGATACCTATTTATTTCCGGAATAATAAATATAAAGACTTCTTAGAGGTTTTTAATTCTAATAAAGCTTTGGAACTTCCTAATCTTGGCAGTATTAAATACTCTATTAATATAGATAGTATAATCCCGTATAGGCCTTTATATAATCTATTAGAGACCTAACTAGAAGTATTATATCTATATTTGCAGGATATGCTTTATAAATATTAGATAAGGCCTAGTAAAAGCCTAGTAGGAATACCTATTTTTTTTATTCCTAAGAAAAATAGAGAACTATGTCTTTATATTAATTATTATAGACTTAATTAAGTTATAATTAAGAATTAGTATCCGCTTCCTCTTATTAATAAGACCCTTAACTAGCTCCGAAAAGCCAAGATTTTTATAAAGCTAGATCTCAAGGATATATATTATTAGATAAGAATTCATAAAGAATATAAGTAGAAGACGGCTTTTAGGACCTGCTATAGCTATTTTAAATATCTTATAATACCTTTTAAGCTAGCTAATATACTAGCCATATTTTAAATATATATTAATACTATATTTATAGGGCTCCTGGATTATTTCATAGTTATTTATTTAAATAATATCCTTATTTACTCCCGAAATAAGGATAAATACTATAATTATGTTTACTAGATACTTACTAGGCTATATAAAAATAACCTATTTTATAAACTTAGTAAATACGAGTTTAATATTAAGGAAGTCGAATTTTTGGGCTTCCTTATTAGAATAAAAGGTATTTATATGAATCCTAAATAGGTCTATAGTATTATTAAATAGCCAGAACCAGAATTATTTTATAATATTCAAGTATTTCTTAGATTTACTAATTTCTATTATAGGTTTATTTACTATTACTTTCAGGTAACTATAGGCTTAATAGATCTCTTAAAAGAAATAGAAAAGGGCCGGAAATCCGATTTCTTTATATAAATAGATAAAGCGGCTAAAAGCTTTAAGACTTTAAAAAAAGCTTTTACTATAATACCTATCCTGGTCTATTTTGACCTTTCTA